CAAATATGTGAAAATGCAGAAATTAGGTTGAGTGCACAGATGGTGAGGAGTGAACTTCAGTGGCGCTGGAGGCAACCCTGGCCACTGAGGGAGACACAACCCAACTTGCAGGCTGTGTAGTTGGGGCCAGGGACAGTTACTTAGTCTCGTTTTGCTTATGGTCTGAAATCTATTTCCTTCCTCTAAAAATGGCTCCAATTGAAATGATTTTGAATCAGCTATGTACGATTATTGGTTAATTCTAGATGGCCCCATGTCTGCGTTTAGGTCTGCTACTTCTTCCTGCCCCTGTGCACAAGGCTTGTCTGTGAACCCTGGGAGGTGGCTGTGTAGGAGGAAATGAAACAGAGGAGCAACTCACCCAGGCAGAAAACAGACACCCCTGCGCTTGAGTGCCTAATCTTGTAACCTGTCAGACCTGCCCTGTTACAGGAACAAAGGTTCAAGTGACTGCCTGTGAATCTTCTAACATGACGTGACTTCCTTAACATGGTTGAGCATCTTGGGATGAAGCAGGTGCATGGGTGGCGGCCTGGGCATGTGGTAGTTTTGTCGTTCAGCAGTGCTGAAGGCAAACCCTGCTGTGTGGGACCAGAGGGGAACTCCTGTAACCTGTGTCACTGTTGAGACTGAGTCTCACCAATGTTACTTATTTCACGTGCAGGGTATTACACCATTTCCAAGGTCTCCTTTGATAATTCACTGCCACCACTTTGAAGAGCTAAAAGCAGTGGAATGCTGTGTGGGTGTTAGTCACGGTGCTGGCTAAGCGTGTGCTGCCTGGGTCTGCATCCAAGTCCCAGCACTTCTGACTGTGTGATTCGGGCCTCAGCTGCTTCATCTCTAACGGGCAGTCAGAGGTCCAGCAGCCTTAGGAAATGTTACATACACTGGCTTAGGAAGCCTGTAAACAGCAAGTACGGAGTCATCACCATTAAAATGTTCACTTTCATTTTATCATCATCACCATCACCCTCATTGTCTACTTGGCAATAGTGGTTGCAAGAGCTGGCAGTTTGCCTGTAAACATGTTTCTCTACAAAATGAGATTAAAAACCCAAGGCCAGGTGCCATTATTCTGAGAGACAAGGACTTTCTTCCTCTGAATCTTTATTTTCTTATTACACAGCACCTTACATGTGTTTCTGTTGTAGAAGATTGAGACCACATAGGAGGCTGGGAAGGAGACTGTGAGGGCTCCTTGCCTGTTCTCTCCTACTTGTGTCACAGCGATGCCCCCAGTGGACTAATCCATGTGCATGCCTCTTGTCTTCTCTTCACACAGGATGCCCCTTCATAACAGGTGTGTCCTTTCTGACACATGTGATAGGAACAATGCCTGCTGTGGTGTTGATTGAGGGAGCCAAGCCATGCAGGACACCAGCTTCCCAGCAGTACTGTCTCTATGATTGTGGATGTGGAGAGAGTCCACAGCCTTCACAGGGCCTTGCTGAGTCAGGATTTGAACCCAGTCGAAGTCCCTGTGTATCCCCACATTTCTGACTACTTCTAATGTGGCTGTAGATTCCAAAATAGGCATTCTGTTGTTTCTACTTGATTTTTTTCCCTTAGTAATATTAGTTTGAATTTGATAGTAGCACATTTTCCATGTAAGTATATGTGAGTTTATTCTTTCAATGAAAACATGTGATTCAGTATTTTTAAGTCCCCTCCTTGTTTGGGTTGTGTTCTGTTTCTTTGTTCTTTGCAGGGCTGGATAACACAGTGCTGAGAGCCTGCACACAAGTGCTTTGAGGTGCATGCATGATGAGTTCCATAGGATAGGGGTTTTGGGGTTGGGCTATGGTAGATACATGTTTGATTGTAACTTTTGTGCCCCAAATGGATTCTGCTCACCAGTAGTGTTTGCGAATGCCTGTTTTCTCACAATAGTCTACTTTTTGTTTTTACCAATTTGGTTTCAAAAATTGTTATTTGCCTAACTCCTAGTAGGGCTGAACTAATTCTTTCTTGAATCATCTCTTACTTTCTCTGAAAATTGCCTTTCACTCATTTATTTTTCATTTTAGACACTCCTTCAGTATTCTGAATAGTAAGCCTGTATCAGAAATATGTGGCAAATAAATAACTTTGTCCAGTTTGTCACATCTCTTTTTTACTTTGTTCTGTGTCTAGAGAATTTTGATTTGTTTGTGCGGAAGTGGGCCAGTCTTTTTCTTTCTTTGTTTCTACCTGTTACCTTGCTTGGAAAGGCTTTGACTTTATTAAAACACTGGCACATTTATTTAAAATACTTTGTTATATATTCTGAAGCTTCTCCACTTTTGTTTCTACTTGGAGCTTTGTAAACGCTCTGGGATTATTTTTACATAGGAATCTAGACGTTCTTTGGGAACATCCAGTTGTCTGACCATTCATTCAACTCACTTGAAACCACTGTCATCATAATCAAAATTTCCTTGTATGTATCATATGTGTGACTGCTCATTGTGAAAAAGTGTGGTTTTGTACAATTTTTTCCCTCCCAGGGAAGCTCTACACAGCAATTTGTCGAGCTCTGTATGGAAAACTCCTGTGGGTGTTTTGGTTGGGAATAGTTTAAATGGATCAGCATCTTTACAATATGTACTTTGCCCAGCCAGAAACATTATGTTTCCATTTAGGTTCTTTTGTGCTATCAGTCAAGTCCTGTAATTTTTTTTTAATATAGACCTAGCGTTGCAGGGTCTGTCTCCCTTACATTGACTTTGTTTTATGCTAGTGAGTGGGAAATCATGGTTTCTAATACGTTAATGTTTTATCTAGCCACCCGAATGAACTCTTCTGTTAGTGACCAATATTCTTTTCCATGACTTATCACATTAGCCAGGACTGAAGTGCTGTGGACTAATGATGATAGAAATGAAAATCTTTGTCTTATTCCTTCTGGAATGGGAAAACTTCCAGTGTTTCTTTGTCAGCTAAGTAGGGTAAACATTTTTGATCAACTTGCAAGAATCCACCTTTCTTTCCTTTTCCCATCATCCCTCCCTTCCTTCCTTCGTTTCTTTCTCTCTTCTCTTTTTTCCTTAAGTATGTTATTTTAAGTTTATTTGAAAGGCAGGGTTATACAGAGAGAGGAGGGGAGACAGTGATCTGCTAGTTCATTCCCCAAATAGATGCAATGGAGCTGGGCAGGTCCTAAACCAGAAACTAGGAGTTTCACCCAGGTCTCCTGTAGGGATAAACTTGGGTAATTCTTTGCTGCATTCCCAGTGTTTTAGCAGGGAGCTCATCTGAAGTTGAGCTATTGGGACTTGAACCAGCACCTATACGGGTTGCCAGCATCACAAGCTGTGGCTTAAATGAGCTGTTCCACAATACCAGTCCCAGAAATTTCTTTCTGTTCCTACTTTACTGAGAGGTGTGCGTCTCACTCCAAGTTGTAACAGATTCCCATTAAATACCTTTATTCTTTCATTAAATCTTTCTTAAGAATCTAGAGATTGTTCCAAAGTGATTTAGACTTTCATGAACTGACATGCAAACTGGATCACCTTGTTTAGAGCTGAGTAACCCCTGTAGGAGACCTGGATTGAATTCCTGGTTCCTGGCCTGACTCAGCCCTGCCTGTTGCAAGTATTTAGGGAGTAAACCAACACAAAAAAAATCACTAAAGCTCTTTGTCTTCCTCCCTTTCACCTTTCCTCCACTCCTACCCCTCATCATGCTGCCTTTCAGATAGATGAGAAGTAAAACTTTAAATACAAATAAGTACTACTAAACAGTATCTTTTTTGTTCTTGTCTTCAAGTATGTTTGACCCTGGATATCCTAAGCACAGGTGTTATTTCCTATTGACACTGTGACACCTTTCTTACAACTTTCACTCTCATCTCTGCCCACACACACATTAAACATTAAAAAACAAATGTGAAATAGTATGTGGGCAAGAGCAGGAGTGCTGCCTCTGACAGGCACCATGGAAAGGATGTTATTTCTAGCCTCTAAATGAAATAATGTCTTTCGTTCCTCTTGACTGGCCCAAGCAGCTGGCTCTTGACTGTCCCAAGCAGCAGCCTCTGGTTGCTCTGTAGCCTTTCAGGAGAGTGTGAGAAAGGTATCACTGCCTGACCTCTGATTTCCTGTCGCGACATCAGGCAGGTTCAGCTGCAGGACACAGCCACTGCTAAGTCTTTCTCAGCACGCCTTGCGCATGTTGAGGGCAAAAGATAGGTTTCCACAGTTGACTGCTAGAAATGATTTAATCTCAAAGTTCATTTGCTGACTTTTCAGTGGTAAGGATGCCTCACTAAGCTGGAATGCAAGGACTTAGGTTTTGCTTTGTGTTTGGATCGTGGCCCTAATGTGACTTGGTACCTGTCTAGAGAATTGTCTCTGTGTCCAGGAACATGTGGCCTTCAGGGAAGTCGACACGTGCCACGGGGGCATCGGTCACAGTCGGAAAAATGAAATGCCTGTGGACAATGCAGCTCTACCTGAGGGAAATACTGCCTTCGGGAAACTCTTGCCCAAAGAGTGCTGTCCTCGGCATTGAAGAGCGTTAGCTCCTCAGTGAAGCATTGAGGGGATACCTTTTGTCACAGTTTTCTTCAAGCGGGCTGGATTTTATGATTGTTAGGTTGTTTGATCAAAAAGCAATAACCTACTAACTAGAAGGATCATTTGTTTTATTTTGCACAAACCAGGCCTCCGACATAAATTTGCAAGTTTTTGAGGAAGGAGGTAGGGTTTTTGGAGATGGTGTGAACTCATCCTAGTGTGTGGTGTGTAACTAGAAACCATTCAGGAAAGAAGACCTAGGTCAGGCAAGGGGTGGAAGCCAGAAAGTTCCATCAGGGCAGGCATGAGTAGCCGATTTCCAAACATCTACCAATTCCCAGACTGGTTTTGGCTTTTAGGGCCATTGGTGTGGAAAATTTGATCAATTGGACCATTATTTTTGCCTTTACATCCTTCTTTTTTTTTCCTTCCTGATTCTCAAGACCAGAAGAATCTGGATGGGAGTGGACTAAATGTTTCCTGTCTTCTCTCCTGCAGGCAGGAGACAAACATTACCATCCCAGCTGTGCACGATGCAGCAGGTGCAACCAGATGTTTACAGAAGGAGAGGAAATGTACCTGCAAGGTAAGGTAGGCTTAGGAGCTCGATGTGCCTCCTCCACTTGGGGAAAGAAAATCTTGCTTTGCTGCTTGGGTCCTTTCTGGAGAAGGAGGCTTGTAATTATCTGTGATACATAATACATCCCAGGTCCAACACGAACAGGGCCAAAAGATACCTCATCAGATCACGTTACTCAGCCAAGCAGAAAGCCGCAGAGGCGGTTGACACATGGACTTTACTGGCAGGCTTGCGTGGGTCTCCGCGTTGGATGCCACGTGAGAGAGGGGTAGAAATTAGTCTCGCCTCCTCCTCAGGAAGGTGTGTGGAGAATGAAAGATGAAAAGCATTTCTAGAAGCTACTAGAAAGTTACTTATTCGATGGCTTTGCCTTTTCTCTACTCATGGTCCTGTGAGAAGTATTTTCCAAGGCTTCTGAGTATGTTCTTATCTGGGCTTTCAAAAAAATGTGATTTGGTCAATTGCATTGCACACAGTTCATTCTTGAAGAGGACATGGCTGTCGTAGGAATCAGAGAGCAAGCAAGGAGGAAAACCTGAAACAGAAATCAAGAAGTTTCTAACAGAAGAGATACTCATTATCAGGAAACCACTAGAGACAGCAGAAAGAGAACCTTCAACCTATGGTTCATTCCCCAGATACCCACAACAGCCAGGGCTGGACCTGCTGGGGCCAAGACACCCACATGTATAGACAGGGACCCAGTGACTGAGCCATCGCTGCTGCCTTAGCAGGAAGCTGGAGTCAAGAGTGGCCGCTGAGAGTCCAACAGGCACTACACCACCATATGGCAGCCACTTAACCTGCATCTTAACTCCTGATGTCGACTCACAGGTTTTCTTTAATAGGAAATGGTTTGCAACAATCTTCCCAAGTATAAAACTACGATGGATTTTTTTCTCTCAAATTTTGAGGCTTTCAGAGAGGCTGCAGGCTCTACTCCTCAAACTGCACCATCTGTGCAAGCATTTTTTTTTTTACTATTTTTAGCTGGGAAAAAAGTCATTAAGCAGACAGGGGCTTATCAGGAAAATTAGCATGAACCCTAAGAGTTCAGTTTTTGTAATTACGGGTCTCACTTGCTTTTGCCTGTCATTTCCCGATTTTCCTTTGCACATAACACTGTGTGTGTTTTTAATGAATGGTTTGCTTTGCCTTCTCAGTGCTGTTTTTTTGCAACTGAGACAAGTCTACAGAACTGATCCTTGAGCATTAAAGCCTTCGTGCCTCTCTCCTTTAAAAACATGAGCTAGATGAGTAACTGACAGCCTGAATGTTCCTGCAGCTTTGGAATACCCAGAAGCCAAGTGACGGCAGCCTCACCTGGGGTGCCTGGGGTGTATTGAGCCCTATAGGCCACATTCTCCACCAACAGTGGGTTGCACATCTAGAGTGGAAGTCGGCAGGTGTCTCTGCACTTGGGGTCCCCCAGGCTTTGTTTTAGGTTTTAGGGTATCACCGGGGGCACTCAATCAGCAGGTGCGAGGAGGCACGCCTGCCCTGGATCTGCTGCCAGCTGAGGCTCAAAGGCCTGGGGCACAGCCCTGTGTGTTCAATGTGGCTCTGAAGGCCGACCACGAGGATTCTGCAGGCCGCTGTGTGGAGGCAGCACTTGCAGGAGATGGGCTGCCTTCCCATCTCCAGGGACTGCCCAGATCTCTGGGCTCCAGTAGCCTCCACCTGTACTCTCGGCCCATCCTCACGGAAGGAGCAATTGCTGACTTCCTCAGCATCTGATGTTCTCCCCACTCACGGGCCTCTGTGTCTGACCCCTGGGGAACACTGATGAAACCATGCATTCAGACCCAGTGTTCCGGCCAATGTTGTTCTGCTCGGTAGAAACCTCTGGCAAAAGCTTCTTCTGGGCCTGCGCCTTCCCGCCTCAGCTCTCCACATCAAGAGGACAGTCCGCTTTTGAGGCAGTGTCAGTGCTCGAGGGACCAGTGTGGCTGTGTGCTTTACATTTGCTTGGTTTTCTTTTCTGGGTGGTGACTTTTTTGTTGTTTGTTTTTCTTTGGGGTTTTTGAGTGTGGTAACCTTAGGTGAAACAAAGTGATGGGCCTGATTGTTCAACAGGGAGTAAGTATTCTGATTTTAAAATGTTCCTTGTGATTAATGTCACTTTTTTTTTTTTTTTTGCTCAGCGATACAGAGCTATTCATGAGTCATTTTCATGCATTGAGCGTACAAGTCCACACAGGTTGCTGCTTCAGATGAAATGTAGAAAGGTTGATATTCACATCACTAAGCCTACTGTGTTTATCTCATTGACATGTGGGTAGCAGGGGCCATCTTCTGCCACTTTGCCGGGTGATGGGAAGTGAAGCAGCCAGTATCCAACCTGGTATTAACATGAAATGTTGGCATTGGAGGCAGCAGCTTAATACCACTGGATGCTTTAATACCACTCCCCACCACATATTTCTGAAATCAAATAGTCTGTAATAGGCTCACAGACATTACCATCAAAGGATAACAATATGTTTTTTTTTTCTTAAAAAAAAAAAGAAGAAGGGACCCAGCACCATAGCCTACTGGCTAAAGTTCTCACCTTGCACACACTGGGATCCCATATAGGCACCGGTTCTAGTCTTGCAGGTCCCGCTTCCCATCCAGCTCCCTGCTTGTGGGCTGAGAAGGCAGTAAAAGATGGCCCAAGACCTTGGGATCCTGCATCTGCATGGGAGACCTGGAAGAGGCTCCTGGCTCCTGGCTTGGGATCAGCACAGCTCCAGCCATTGTGGCCACTTGGGACATGAATCAACAGATGGATCTTATTCTCTGTCTCTCCTATTCTCTGTATATCTGACTTTCCAGTAAAAATAAATAAATAAATAAATAAATAACTCTTTCAAAAGAAGAAGAAAGAAATTGAAAAAAAAAAAACAGTCACAAACTCAGTATCTCTAACACCAAAATACTTTTGTGCCCAGTTGCTGGTCTCTGTGGCCTGTAATGATAACCTTTAAGAATGAGCTCACAGTAGAGCCTGGAGCACTCTACCTAGAGCCTGGAGCACTGGAGCACTGGAGCACTCTACCTAGAGCCTGCAGTTGTTTGGTTTCAGTGTCCTGATTTCCTTGCGGCTGGGGTTACTGACCAGTCCTGTGGGGGAGTGAGCCGGTCTCAGTTCTATCACAGAGAAACAGTCCCTTTCCATTATCCAGTCCTTAGCAGTGTGATGTGTCTTTCCAGGTTCCACTGTTTGGCATCCCGACTGTAAGCAGTCCACCAAGACAGAGGAGAAGCTCCGGGTAAGGAAATAACCAGAACCAGGTTGCCAAGCCTGTCTGTGGGAGCAGGTGCTCCGTGGGCACAGTTCTTAGGGCGGGGGTTGGGCAGAAGCACCCCTCAGTGACATTTCCCTCCCAGCAGCAAGCCAAGCTCATAGGCCACTTGGCCCCACAAAGGAGATGCCCGTCTACCTTAAACTGATTGTTGTGGGTTTTGTTCCAAGTGCTTGTTAGGCAAAGGAAGCCTCTCCTTGCTGGCCATCCTCTTTGAAAGGCTGAGAGTCAGACCACAGAGAAGGGGCAGCTGACTCATCCAGCTCACAGGCCCACACTGCCAACCTTAGCCCACTCCTTCATGCTTAGTGCATAACACACCACTCCAACCCAAATTCTGCATCCTTCACTCGGCCCTTAGCACATTCTACTGACCGCTCAAATCCAAGTTCACCAGGGGAACCCACAGCTCCAAAAGCTAATGGCTCATCAGGTCAAACGTTTGGGAAAATGATGATGAGCCCAGACGTGTCCACCAGCCAATTCCCAGAATCCCTCCTCTTGGCAGAATTTTATCTGTTTCAGAAGCAAGAGCTGGACGCAGGTATAAGGTCACATTCAGAGTCAGCATTCTATTCATGCACCTTGCACTTCCCACCTGGGCTGTAGAGTATTTTTCCGAGTTGTCGTTAGGCTGATTCTCAGGCCCTACTCCTTCCGTGTAGTGAACTTAGAGGTACCTGGGGAAAAGCTACAGTTTGTTGCTCAAGGGGCATGGCCTAGATTAGTGCTGGAGGCCAGAATCGAGGGTGGTGGATGCCTTCTCCCAGGTTTGCAGTCGGAGCTCTGTATGTGTTCTTTGGAGCAGTGCAACTTCTGCATCCACAAGACCTGTTCCTTAGTGTTCCACTTGCTAACTTGCATCCCCTGCCACCCTTGTTTTCTTCAGTCTCCTCTATAAACAGCTGCAGGAACAGGTGCGTTTTCCCTTTGCTTTGCCTCTCTTCAGCCAGCATCTACCCATCAAAGGGACACACTGTGCCATTTGCATAAGCCCCTCTCTTGCCCTTGATTCTGAGCCTATGGGAAAATACTTTACATAACTAAGTGAAGGTTAGAAAGTAGGAGACCAGTTCATTTCCCTGAGATCTCAGTGGTTTTGCTGTGGCTTGCTGACATGAGTTCCACAGGAGCACCTGTCTTTGCTCTTGAAGGCCAGCACCTAAACAGGCACACACTGGGACAGTCACCCAGCTCTGGGTGCTACACCCTGGGGATTTGGATGAACCATAGATGCTTTGAAAACGGGTTGTCTGTATATAATAGGAGAACATCAAAGATTGGACTCATTGTCACTTGTATCCTAAGACTGGAAAATTCACCACGCAGCCTGCGGCTGTTGCCCAGGAGCTCTCACTCCAGGTAGCCAGGAGTTTGCATACTCTGCTATATTTCACTTTTTGTGAATATTAATTTTTTGCTTCCTCTATAATGAGATATTTTAAAAGGATGAAGAGAAGAATGTTAATGAGGCCAAAATGAAAAAAAAAATCTGTGTCTTGGGTTTGCTGATTTTTTTTTCTTTCACATCTTGATGGAACTCTCAAGAATAAGCCTGTATAAATAACTAATGCACCATTTCTATTCATTCTGGCCCAGAGAACTTTTGTTTTCTTCCTTTAATGCAGGTTCCAAAGAATTCCAAAGCTTTTCTCCCGAACATTCACCACTTGGGGGGTCAGACAAGGCTCTGGCTTGTCTTTGGGAAGCTCGAGGGGGATGGTGCGAGTGCGCCTGCGAAGGGAAGAGGTCTTCATGTCAGGGGTTCATGCTGATGTTGGTGGGGTTCAGGACCAGATCGGTTTGGAAGAGAGAAAGCACGTACTCTCCGAAGGGTGTGTCTACACAGCATAAATCCTGAGCCAAGATTTCTAGGCTCTTCCCCATGTGTCACATTAGTGCAGTTTCCATAGCAAAATGAAAATGTTTTAAGGATCTTTCCACAACCCCACTGAGTAATCCACATTCCTGATATTTAAGCACTCCAGGGGCGTTTGCAATAACAGATTCCTAAGGATCCCTCCCAGCTGGTTCCCTTGGCCTCCTGCTCTTTGCACACCATAACTCACCTAAGCCAAAATAAAGGGACAGGGACTGACCAAGGAGGGCTGTGGCTTAGATAAAGACTCGAACCCGAGTTAGACCTTCAATGTGGACCCCCCACGCTGAGCAGAAACACACAGGCATGCGTCCACCGGGTCATGCTGCTTGAGACTTGCCATCAATCTCCCTAAAGGTTTTGTTTTCACAGTCATCCTAAATGAGGCTATTTCTGTGTTCATTCTTCCCTTTCTCGTGTTTCATGGCAGCCACCACACTTTCATCGTCCTTCGTCTGATTTCTTTTACCCCAAAAGTCTGATCCGCCGCACAGGACGGTCCCCATGGCTGCAGGTGGGCACTGTGTCTGGGCCAAGGCTGTGAGCCGCTGCCCTGAGCCCAGGCTTCTGTCGCTTCCTCCCCAGGCTGCTTTGCTCACTGTTAACTTCTCAGGCACCTGCAGGAAGCGGCTGCTTTGCTCACCCCACGAGTGCCTCTCACACTGATGCTGGCTTTTTCCTCCAGTCGTTGACATTTTCATGCAGAGATATGGCTAACGTGTTGCCTTGAGTGAAGCGAGCACGTGTGAAGCTGCCATTGGGTCCTCGGTTGCCACACTTGTTTACAGAACAAATGTGTCACCACTCAGCTGAGTGCTGGGCTGGATGGTGTAGACTTGGCCTTGCGGGAAAAGAGAAGGTAGATACCAAGAGGATGGGGCAGCATCCCAGGATGCGGATCCCAGAGGATGTGTTCCCTGCAGTGTCACAGGATGAGCAACTCTCACAGGGCACTTCCTGGGTGAGGTTGTCCTTGAATTGACTTTGGAGTCTGGGTGAGATCTGAGCACAAGGAGATAGGGGTCAGTGGGAGGACAGGTCTGATGGAGAGAGCAAAAGCTTGGAGCTGGTGCCGAACAGTACAGGGAAGGAAGTAATTTGACGCATAGAGTAGTGAGTGGGAAGGAGACAGAAGGCAGGCAGCCACCCTGAGGAGGCTGGGGACTTCCTTCCATTCTCATTGGCTCTCCCTAAGAACTCCTGTGACGGGAACACCCTTATTCCCATCTTGCAGATGGAACAACTGAGACAGAGAGCCTCCAGAGTTAAGTAATGTCTCCAGAGTTAGGCAACCTGTGAGTGGAGGAGCTGGGATCTGAACCAGACTTCTGTGCACCTGTAACTCCTGTTCTCACTCTGCCACAAGAAGCAGTGCAAGAGAATCCTGGGGTTTAAATCATTGTCAGGGGCCGCTGAGGGAGCCAGTGCAGAACCCGCCCAGCCCAGAGCGCTGGGGGGCAGGGAAAGGAATGGACAGGCTAGCCCCAAAAGCAGCCAGGAAAAAGGGTGTGCTCCCTTGCAGACCTCCCTAGCCCTAGGCGTCTTCAAGAAGTGGTGGTGACCTTGGCTTATAAGCCACAAGCTGCCTTCGATCACCCCATCTGGCCTGGAGGAGAAGCGCATGAAGTGCAGGATTGCAAGAGGGCCGTGCTGTCTGGGCTTCCTGCCTGCGCCTGTGAGAGACGCTCAGGATGACAGTTGGGGTTTCTACTTGTTTTTATTGAAACTGAGCCTCATTTGAAAAATTGGAAGGCAGACGTAAGGGGTTTCAGAGTGGAAAAGAAAGCTTTTAGAGGTTGGCCCCCTAAGCAGAGGGTGATGTCAGACTGAGCAGCCCGCCCCAAGTGGAACAGCCAGACCACAAACTCAGGGGTGCTGAGTGCAGGCTGGAAGCCTGGCATTGGCTCCTGGCACTGAATATCACTCGAACTTGGACTTGCTGTTGAGTCTTTGGTTCTGAGCTCTGGGAGCAGAGTCTCTGCATACGGTGGCATTAAAGCCTCATGATTCCAGAGGCCACGTAGCAGTTCATCCCACTGCAAAAGTGTGTGGTTCAGAACCAGTGCCTGCCTTGGCAAGAAGCTGCTTTTTTCCATAATCTGTGAGGTCTTCTTTTTTCTCAGTGGGATACTCTTAACCCAAATGGTCTTATGTTTTGTTAGCCTAAGCCTACAATCAAGTGATGCATTCTCAAAATGTGAAGAAAAGTACCATTAACAAGGCAGACTTCTTTTAAAATTTTTTTTTTGCTCCGGAGTCTTACATTTAAGAGATCTGGAGCAAAGGGGCGGGGAGAGAGATCTGTTTCTCATAACTTCTCTTCCTACCCTGTTATTCAAAGCGAACATCTGATTCCCATTATCCAATCGTAAAGATCAATGAAGTCAACTCCAGCTCCGTCCAGGAAAGTTCTAAACAGCTTGGGAGCAGATAGAGAAAGTAAGCCCTTTAGCAAGGCCCCCACACTCTGGCCCGTGGGCATCCTTGCCCGTGGGCACCCCTGCCAGGAAACCAAAGTGTGCAGCTCTCTGGTCACTAGCATTTGGAGCTCTTAGGCATTCCCATTTATTTTTGCAGCAGCTCATTTTTTGTCACGTGAAATTCATCACCCTCAGTTATTAGACAGACAGTGACATTCAGTACTCTGTACCCAGAAACCAGTCCTGGTTTTGTTGCAGAGGAAAAGTCAAATTACAGGAGGAAAGTCATCTTGTTCGCTTCTATTCAGAAATCAGTCACTCCTCCTTTTCTTCTCACCTGAATTACAGCTAAAAGAAAAGCATGCAAGTATGATTATCTAAGAAAAACATCATTTTACATAAATAGCAGTGATTCTACTTAGAGGCAAAAGTCAGGACTCGGTGTTTATAACTTTTTGTGGAAGAAACATGGCATTCCCGGAACGAATTTTGAGTTGACCCAGAGTGGGTCACTGGCTTTAATTCTAAGACAGTGCTCTGCTGTGCCGCTGGAGACGTGCATTGTGGACTGTAACACAGGCAGCGTCTTTTTTTCTTTTGAAAGTAACAGCCACCTACTGTAAAGTATGCACTTGCAAACCTATAATATACCAAATAGACCATGTGCATCTTTTTTTTTTCCTGAGGTACTAATTAGAGGTTTTCTAGATGCCTGGAACAAGGCAGTGATTTTGTGGGTTATTACGATGTTAATGTCAATGTGAGACTAGCTACCCCATTCACAGCTTTCACGTGGTGTGGCTGTGGGATTCTCTTAGGGCTGCTTTTATGATTCGCAGATGTAAAGGAGTTCAGATTTGTATTGGGGAGACACTGAGGCCCTCTGTCTTTGAGGCTGATAGCGTTTGTGACTCTGTCTGAGGGCAGGAGGTCCCGCTCTGACCCCTCCACACACATGAATTCTCTCTTCCAAAAACATTGATTTCACCCTTCCCTTGACTTCGTGGTGGACATTCGGAGTGCGCAGGTGTTATAAGTGTTCCTTCTGCTGCAGCTGTTAACACCACCTTGTCTAGTGAACTTCAACACAGACCCAAGGCAGGTACTGTCAACATCCACGGAAATTAACAGAAGGTGTCAGTCACCGTGTGTCCCTAGCCACCCCATAGCTGCTCATCAGATCATCCCGATCTGGTGGCCAGGTGCCTGTAGTTCTTAGTCCCTCTTAGAGCATGGCTTTGGATGAAAGCAAATTAGACAAATGTAGTCATTGCAACCCTGCTCCTGCGAAATGAGGGGGGTGGCCTTGGGTGGCGGGGAGCTTTCCAGGGCTCTCCTTATAAAGGTCCCATGTGCATGGTGGCACATACGGGGACACTTCTCCACCTCCTCGGCAGGCAGAGCTCTGGTAAGTCTCTTTAATGGTCAGTATTTTGAAGAATGGTGAGAGCTGGAGAGGAATCGTCATACGACCTCTTCAGTTCACTTCTGCTCTGTGACTGTGCCTTCTGAGTGGTAGTGCAGATGGACGGAGTCAAGGTCAAGGGGGAGAAGACAGCCACAGGTAGTTGGAGCGCTTTAAAGGGGAAGCCGGGAGGAAACACGAGGTACACTTCGAGAGGGACTAAACCCTTTCTGTCACCAGTGCAAGTGAACTGCTAAGCCTCTCTGTCAAGTTTGTTCGTTTTAGTGAAATATCAAAAATACTTGTTAGAATCAAAAATGAATAATGAGAAAATAAATGTAGGACAAATGGAGCCCTCCTTCAGGGCAGTGCGAAGGAGGACAGCCAACACCAACTCAGAGGTCTTACTGAAGAAATAAGAATTCGTTTGATCCTATTGGCAAAAATACTTCAAGAAACTACAGCTATATCATCCTTCCTTCGTCTATTTGACCTTCTCCATCCCTCCCTTCCATGTTCTCTTTTTGCCAGAGATGGCTGGTGCCTTTGAAGGTGTCCGAGCTGTAACAGAGAGTTGGAGATTCCGCAGGGGAAAAAATCAACAGCTGGCAGATTGAAAGGGTTTCTTCTTTAATAATAATAAAAAAAAGAGGTTGATAATTTAAACTGAAAACATGCTCAGAATTCTAAAATTATAGAATTCTAAACATTTGGGATTAAGGCTCCAAAGACAATGACCCAGTTCTTGAAAGTGATTTTATCATCTTCACAGGGCGAGGCCTCCCACCTCTGCAGGTGGAGCAAATGCTCTGAGAGCTGATAGGATCTGTGGCCAAAAGTGGGTGAGGCAGGTGGCATCCGAGGCATTTGAGCCTTGAGCTCAGGTCAGGAGGCAGCAAGCCAGGAAGTGTCCAGGGACAGATGATCAGCCTGTGCCAGGCCATGGCCATTCTCCATGGAAGGACACTTCATTGAGGATGAGACCAAACAGGTAGTCACTTCTCCAGCAAGATTCTCATTCCTTCATGGAGTTAACACTGAGGGGATGGTCGAGGGGTCTCTGTGGGCTCCTGGTGGGATAGCCCCCCATCAGAGATCTGAGTTTTGAAGGGCCTCGAGTGTGACAGGTGTAGACTGGGAATCCTCATTGTTAAGGCTCACATTTGAAATGGAATTTTTTCCATGTACCAGCCACTAATTGTGCACCTACTTTCTACCAAAGATGCTCCTAAACTGTAGAGATCTGGCAGGTAGCATGCGAACAGTCTATTTTTCCGAGAACATGTTTTTTACATCAGTGAACCAAAAACAAAGGAACCAGCATGGCAGTTCATGCTGGGTGAGTTAGAGCATAGTTATACAACCTTGGAACTTTGCAGGGAGGACAAACAGCTGGCACATTCTATTGGAAAAGAGCAATCAAATCTTGCCATCATCCATTCATTATTTGAGATTAACTGGCTACAAAATGCAGTGTTATGTGAACTGTCTAGAAAATGTTGACTGCTCTGTGCCCGGCAAGGTGCTTCGATCCCGGTATCTGCTGTCTCGTTCCTCCCTGGGAAGCGATTGTGGTCAGCACCTACTTCCCCAGGTTGCCCATGGAGAGAGTGAAGCCCAAGGAAGCCAGAAGAACAACAAACAGTAGAGCCGAGGTTTTGAACTGAGATAATTTTACTCCAAAGCCAGCCTTTACCTCCACTCTATTATGCTGTGCGTAGATGTGTTTTTCTCCTATTGGTTCTATACTAATGGGAAAACAAAGAAAGGTCTTTGTCAGGGAGGAGGTGAGCAAGGATGTGACTAGAGGCTTCTGCGTAGAAACTTCACAGGAAGACGAGGAGGGCAGAATCAAGCTGAAGGCAACACTGGGAGATTGACTAGGGAAGGAGCAGATTGCAGACCTTCAGAGCACACCTGGGGCATCTCAGGTGGCTCTGAGTGGTTCAGGGATGCAGGTGCCAGGGTAGTCATGCTGAGAAGAACAGAACATCGACAAATACGGTGGCAGGCTGACTGGATTTTGAAAACCGTCAGATGACAGACATCTAAAATCTTTCTTTTGTAATCAGAGAACTCGCGGGCAGATGTAGGCAAATTGGGATGATTCAAATGTGAAAGTCTTGAATGAACCAACTGGGACTTGGCAAGAATTCAAGTGACTGAAGAATTCTCAGCCCCGCAATAGCACTGCTGTGATCAAAACACTGCTTTGGAGAAGGCCTCCGTACTGTACTGGGCCCTCTCATCTGGTCAAGGGAAGTGGAGAGAAATCAAACTGAAATGGGCTGGCTCCACTGAGAGACCTTCTCTTTTTAGGAGGCTCCCCATCCTTTTCCCTCCATGTTCTCAGGCTTGTCTGCAGCTACATTCCCACCAGGTTGAAAGGAAAAACACCCAGAGCTACCTGCAGGTGCATTGTTACAGGGAAGTCGGGAGTAGCCCTGACCCCAAGATGCCAACGTTCCACTATGCACTTTGCCTATTTGTGCAATGTCCCAGATGCCTGTCAGGATAATCAGCCATTGTCATGGCATCCTAGTGCTTGGAGACCCCTGAGTTAAGGCCCGTCTCCCCTACCCCATTCCAACACAGTGAGTTCTTGCTGTGTACTGAGACAGCTAGTGGCATTAAAACAGTAACTTTGAGATTATTTCTTCCCAGCGTCTTTATCTGAGTCTTTTAACATGACTATATTAATGGAAAATTCATGATTTCAGTTAACTTACCATGTAGACAAAACTTTAGTGCAGGAATTAAGTGCTTAGACCCTGGACCTCAGATGTCTGGGTTCAAATCCTGACTCCCTGTCCTACCCATGCAGCTTGGAGCACTCATTGTCCTTACCTGTAACACAGGGTTATTGAGAAGGTGAAATGAGATTGGCTTTGGGGTGTACTCAGCGTAGAATGGTACACGGCTAGTGGAGAGCAATCATTAGCACTCTTAGGATGCTGCTGCTATTTGAGACATTTGATTTTGACATTGAATTTGACAGATTGTATCATCCCTTGAGGTTGAAGGACTGATTTTGTCCCACCATGATGGATATTGTTGCTATCTTTTTAAGAGGTGGCCCTTCTTTGGAAAAAAGAGCTACATTTTGATTGGGAAATGGAATGATTTTTGATGGGTTTATGCAAATCGTTTCCTTTTGATCAGCTGAGTCATGGAATTTCCTCTTAATGAGAAGGGCCTGTGATGGAGAAAGTGTAACTCCCCAAGGTGAGCTCTTAAAGGAGACAGGACTCTGGAGGAAACCTACACGTGCTGTGTCAGGCACAGCACCCACCCTGACCACACTGGTATCTCACACATACCAGTGACACTGGCCCAGAATGATCACAATCTTACAGTGAGTGCCAGAAGTTCCTGCAGGGGAGAAGAATGAGGAAACGGATGAGACTTTCAAAGCCAGACCGGTTGGTTTTCATCTACCTTTCCTTCTGGCTGCACTGTCCTTTATCCACAAAAAAAAATTTTTAATAAAAAAATGAAAACTGACCCTTTTTTAGCTGGCTTAGGTAGGAGTTCCAGGCAGTCTTGGTTCTGACGCCATGATCTGAGGTCTGACCACTTTCTGTTTATCTTGCAGCCCACCAGGACTTCCTCTGAAAGTATTTATTCTAGACCAGGCTCCAGCATCCCTGGGTCTCCAGGCCACACTATCTATGTAAGTACCTACCTCTGTGAGCGGCAGTCCTGGCGCAGGTGAGCGAGTGGCTTAGTCTAACTAACCCCAGACGGAAGGCAACAACGCACGCAGTGACTTCTGGGCCCTTGATGAGATCAGATGTTCATTGTTTGTGGTTCGACCTTCTCTGTCCTGCTTTCCCTCACTCATTTAAATGTGTATATGACCCCTGGGAGAGTGATAAGCACATAATCTGTAAAATGTAGTCATAGGAGGCAAGACTTAAGCAATGGCTGCCCCCAACATGTGTAGAGGTATTTAGGGATTAATTATGCATTCTCTAATGCTGACACGGAGTGTTCTTAAATTCTGTAGCAGAGACATTTAAATATTTAGGTTCCTAAAAATGCAGTTCTTGTTTTTAACCATCTGGGAGGATTTTTTTCACCATCTGTTCAAGCTTTTCCCTGCTCTATAATAAATTTAGGAAATGTTCATTCCTTAAGGTTGACAATGTTTCTTTATTTAATAAATTCTACAAACACTTCAAGGATTAAAAGAAACAGCAGGAGTGATACTGGGTTTTAAGTGGGCTACTTTCTAAAGTGAATGACTGAACTAAGCAAGGTGTTTCGGTTTTGCTTATTTTAAAACAAAGTCATCTCCCAAAGAAAAGAGACTGCCAAGTCATTTTTCTTTCTGTTCACCCTTATCAGGCAAAAGTGGACAATGAAATCCTGGATTACAAGGATTTAGCAGCCATCCCCAAGGTCAAGGCGATTTATGATATCGAGCGTCCAGATCTGATTACCTATGAGCCTTTCTACACCTCTGGCTACGATGACAAGCAGGAGCGGCAGAGTCTTGGAGAGGTAAAAAATTCCTGGTGGTTGCAAGTGGTACAGAAATTCTGTCCCATGGGTCAGAACTACTGTTCAGAGTGAGCAGATCAGGCAGACTTTTGAGGGCCCAGTCTGCGGGACTCCAAACCAGGTGCTCAAATGTATTTTAAAAAAGAGAAAGAGAGAGAGAAACGTTGCATGACCTGTGCCTTCAGGGAGAGTGCAGAGAGGTGGGAGAGCTGACCAGCTGCACAGAAAACCCGGGAGTGCGCACCTGTGGCAGGGGGCGGAACGATGGAGTCCCGGAGGGGATGGAAGCTGGAATTATCAGGGGAGATTCTAAGCACACAAGCGGGGGTTAGGAGAGGGATCCTGGGGTCTTGGTCTTGAGAGATCTCATGAAAAAAAAAAAATAGAACAAGAAGCTAAATTGACTTTGATGCAAAAACATGTTCAAGAACCGTGCAGTGGGATTCCACAAGATGTACTCTGCGTGAACTTCTGGAAGACCTTTAGGTACATAGTGAGAGCATGACAAAGAAGACGCTGAACTTTTCCAGGCATCTTCAGATGGTTCCAACACACAAGGAAGCAAGAAGTAGGATGAATGGAGCAACAGAAGAGCCCAGGGGTGTGGAGGGAGTGGGGCTCTGGAGTGCAAGCATTCGGGTTCATCCCAGGAACCTCCACTCTGCTCGTGAGGCAGCCATTCCAAACCTGGATTCCCTACCTGGAAAAGAGTCTCGCAGGAGACTTGATGTCCTGGTTCAAGTCGCAGATACTCCACTTCCAATCCATCTCCCTGCTAATGCGCCTGGGAAACCAGAGGAAGATGACCCGAGTGCTTAGGCCCCTGCTCCCGTGGGGGAGACCCAGACAGGGTTCCTGGCTCCTGACGTGCTGACCCAGCCCAGCTCTGGTTGTTGCTGCTCTTTAGGGAGTGAGGTGACATTTGGAAGATCTCCCTGCATCTTTTTCACTCTGACTTTCAAATGAATAAATAGATCTTTTAAAAGAGTGATGCTGGTCCACATCTCCGCTGAACCAGAGCCTCAGCCCCTTGGGGTCCTCCCCTCCTGGAGCTAGGGGTTTCTGGCTGTCTCCCATTGCAGGTCGGCTTCCCCTGGCTCATTCAGCTCACACTAACTTTTTCCCTGTTTACTTCCTCAACTGGAATCTTCCAGCTGCTCACAGAATATTAACCATCTGTCTCATCACATGTTGCTTCGAGAGCTTGGATGAAATGAAGAAACAGCATAGAAATGTGATGGCTCTCTTTTTTACTCTATAACATTTACTTACATATTTTCTTTGGGTTTATTTTTCTGGGTTCTATGCCCTGGAGTAGCTATGGTCATGAAGTGAAATACATTTGCTTGTACTGCCACCTAGTGGTGCATGTATGGCAGGTCAAATCGAGAAACCTATCAGTACTTGAGAGCTGGTCCTGGGGCACTTGGGTATGAGCTGAGTAAGACCTGAGTCACACAAGTAGGAGAAGCTGACTTTGTTAATGGAGTTGTGGAGTTGGGGTTGTGTGAGCATGCATGGGGTGAGTTATATCCCCAGTGGCTCCGTTTTGGGCAACAAAGCATCGACCACTCAGGGTTTTTGGACCATGATGTGAAATTTTCTGCATTTAAAATAAATTTGATAATTGCTAGCTGTCCAGCTTTAAGAGGCTTAACGTATTTCAGTATTATCAAGATGGATTACACTAATATCCACTCCTTTCTGTAAGACTGAAGTGAACTGTTCCATTGCAACTGTGCCTGGTGCATGGTGAGCTTGCAGCAGGAAAGCCAGCGGCTCTGTAACTGGCAGCCACAGGTTCCCACCTGGACCCATTTCCTCTGGTTTTCTCCAGAAAGAGAGGGTGCTTTGGGGGAAATAAAACCAGAAGTGCCTGCCCACTCTTCCGTTGGCATCTCAGTCCTGGTTGAAAACGTATTGGTATCTAATTGTAAGCAACCTATTCAGTCACTGGAAAAATATGTGTTGAACACCCAGTATGTGCCAGGAGCTGCTGTTACCTGTGCTGGAGCACAGAGTTGAAGGTGGGCAGGGTCCTTGCCCACACAGAGCGTACAGGGGCACCTTGTAAATGCACAGGATAGGAAGGCTATGAAGTAAAAGGAAAACCGGGGTGGAGAAAGCGTGCTGGCAGCTGGGTTGCTGCCTGGAACAGGGGAGTTGCCGAAGATGCTGTGCGACAATGACCTCATGAGCAGAAAAACACTGGCTGCGGAAGAAATAGCACGCTGAAGGCCCTAAAGTAACACCGAGAGTGGTCTGCTGACGGCCCCAAGGCTGTGGGCTGGAAGGGTGCAAGCTAGAAGGCCAGTGGTGGTGAAGAGGGTGGGTAGCTAGCATGGATGCCACCACCTGACACTACAGTCTTATCAAACCGTTCTCCTGAGATTTCTGTGGTTATGGCTTAGTCAGAAACCTGTAACTAATGGTGATATAAGCATGGCCTGAATAGGTAGGGGAAACCATTGCAGTGTGTCTGTCTACCTGGCTCACTTAAAGTGCCATGTCCTGAGTGTTCCAACTGTGGCTGGTCCAGTGCCCTTTGATTGTCTGTGCTTCACTGTGGAATCAGAATTCCAAGACAAGGGATGGGCCCAGACTGCTGGCAGGTGTCCTCTGGAGGTGTCCAGCTGATTAGGAAAAGCAGTCTTGACTGAAAGTAGGGTAGAGTTAACAACTGTTTTGTGACTTCAGATTCTCTTCTCTTCTTCTAGTCTCCAAGGACTTTGTCTCCTACTCCGTCCGCAGAGGTAAGGACCACTTCTGATTGTTTTTAGTGGATGGGATTTGGGAATGTCTTTCTGAGACAAAAACTTCTGAGAAACACATTGAAGGAGAAGAAAAGTGTGTGAGATGAGGATTGGGGCAGATGTTGCTTACAGACACAGGTATGGGTTTCTTTGAAAGTAGACACCAAGGAGTGAAAATGGCCCTTCTCACCCTGACTGGAGCCTTTGTTCTGTAAGTGGTGGGAGAAACTGCTTGTCCAGAGGGGGTGCCCTGCCCCTATCTGCGTTTAATTTATCTGAATCTTGATAAAAATTGAGGATCCCTCATCCACGATGCTTGGAGCCAGAACTGTTTGGGGTTTGGAATATTTGCATAGACCTTTATTCAGGCTGCATGTCCTTTGAAAATCTGAAACACTAAAAGCTCCAAAGTTCAAAATTTTGAAATGCTGATGATGTTCAAAAAGTTTCAGATTTCAAAACATCTTGGGTTTGAAGTTTTCAGGTGAGGAAGCTATACCTGCAACAGTGGATTCTGAAACCGCCAGCAGTGGTCATGGAATATTCTGTAGGCGGAGCCACCTTCCCAGGAGTCTCTGCTTTCCATCTAAATTGGATAATCTGTTCTTAACTTTCTAAAAAAAAAAACCTATTTTAACAGAATGGATCTCAGGGAACCGCTGTAATTTGAAATAATGGAAATCCAATAGAATTTCGCAGTGACTGTCATTTCTGTTAATATCGTGACCATTTCCGTACAACTGAAGTTATGGAGAGTGATCTTGCCGTTCACCAGTGGCAGGAGGCACTTCATTTGGGGACATTTTGGCCTAGTTTCGTATTTACTTTATTGGTGGAGCCAGTGAGGAGCCAGGCAGTGTTGCCTTGCTGTTTGCTCCCAGATTCACACACCCATGAGCACTGAGGTTGTACTGGATCATATTCATGAATTCTTTGAAACTTTTTGTTTGTGGCGCTAGCAGCACTTCCCAGGACATGCTTCAAATGCTCCTCACACTCTTACGTGGTTTTGACAACTTTATGCTGTGTGTGCATCTTGCATACTTGGTATGAACGTATCTTTTTAGGTTTGTACGTAGGTGCCGGGTGGTGGTGTGCTGTTATATTCCAGGAGGGTGATCAGCTGTCCTTTTTCATCCTTTCCCCCCCAGTTGAACACATGCCATGTTTGCTTACATAAGCGATTATAAGACTCTTTGACTATATAATTCCTTTAAGGATCTACACACAGGTATACGTGTCAGGTCCTCAACGGTGTACCCAGGGCATGATCGCATGTGGACACAGTGCTGGTCTGAGCATGCTTTGGGGTTCACGTGTTGTCGGGTTTTTTCTGCAGGGCTACCAGGACCTTCGGGATCGGATGATGCACCGGTCCACCAGCCAGGGCTCCATCAACTCCCCTGTGTACAGCCGCCACAGCTACACTCCAACCACATCACGCTCGCCGCAGCACTTCCACAGACCTGGTAAGGAGGTCTGGGGGGAGGTCTACCCTCCGATTCGCTGTACCTCTGGGAGTTCCCCCTTCCCATTGTTGATAAATCTGACTGTGAAATACCCTACCCCTCTCTTGAACAGTGCTAGAAGCTATTCTTCAGTTGCATTTTGTGTTCTAGTTTTGTGGAGGCATCAGTCATTTTATGACTATATTCGTTAACAATTCATCAAGTAATTGCATTTTCACTTTGAACTCCAGGAAGCAAAGGAGATACTTTTTGTTTTTAGACTTGGAAAAATAAATAAATCCTCAACACTTAGAGACTTAAAACAAATATCTCCGAAAGAAGACATTTTGACTTTTTTTTTTAAATCTCAGCATCATTTAAAATCATCTAGCAGCCATTTGTTGTATTGGGTTTATTATGTCTGCCTCGCTCAGACACAAGGGGTTAAGCATGCTTGGTTAAGCCCGTTCCACACTGAGTTCTCAGGCTCACACTTGACAAGTCTTCCCAATCGCCTTCAGCCCTAATGTTTCAGATAAGGATTGGAAGACACGCCAACCTTAGGGATGTGCGCGGCAGAGAATGCCACACAGCAGCTAGCTTTGGTTGACCTCTGTCCTGCAGTGAGCTGAATCCCTCAACTGGCAGTGAGTGTCTTGTGTGAATGGTAGCAGAGAAGTGGAGCTGTCTGCCCAGATCTGAGATTCCCTGGGAATGAGACTGACAAGAAGGAGTTTAGTGCCCAAATAAGGAAGTGATGACAGGCATCTGTGAAGGCTTTCTTGGGACAGCTTGATGAGAAATGAACCTGTTTGTATGCTAGCTAAAAAAGATTAACTCAGTATGAAAGGCCTCCTTTATTTAGGGTTACAAGTATCCACCTGCTGTTATGTTTTGTTAGGAGAGTTTTCAGCAACTGTATTCTCCTTTTTCAATGTGCAACTATCTGTTTTATTCATGGCTTGAACATGAGTCTCGTGTTAAGCCCTTATCTTTCTGGGTGAGAAGATTTTGGGGTGACCCACCACCCCATCTGCTCAGGTCAGCAGAACCCAGCTTGGTATTGTCAGAGTGGCATGATGTAGTGCTGGGGAATTCTGCCACATTGCCCTGAAAAGTGGGAGAGGGGCAGGTAACAGCCATGAGACCTCACCTCTCCACTGAGCACCAGGAAGTCTTCCTGCCTTCCGATGAGGGTGCTCATGCCAACCATCTCTGGCACCTGCTCCCTCTCTGCTAGGCTCCAGGATGATGTTTTTAGTTCTTCCCTTCTAAAGTTAAGCTGACAGTGTACTGGAGACCCAAAGTACCCACTCCAGAAGTCTGGGTGCCAGACATGAGCTTAAGTCCCCCAGGACCGGGTTTGGGTTTAATGGCCCATGCTTTGAGTGAGGTCCCTGACTTCCTGTTCCTGTTGCTATGACCACACACTCCTCAGGAGCACGGATGGAGTTCCCTCCTGTGAAGGCAAAACAACATAAATAAGTAATATAAATATGTAAACCTATATAAATAGGTTGTGTTTGCAGGTTACACAAAGAATCTGACTCTTATCTCTAAGTACTTCTTTCCAACTTTCTTGAAATGATTTTTTTTTACACCCGTATCTAAGGATTCTATTTTGTTAGAAGCCTTACAAAAATTAGTTCTTCTTGAGTCTGTCCTGCATCCAGCTGGGGCTGGAAAGTAGCTGGCATCACCCTGAGAATAGCCAGGTGGCTGCTCCTCCTCACCAAAGCCGCTTGTCCCGAGAGCGCGAGAGTGATTCTACAGCCTCCACTCGTTGCCTAACTTCCACAGGTGCATTCCTGACTGCTGATTACCACTCTGGTTTTGCCCCCTTGCGATGGAGATGCCTGCCCTGTTCCTGTGTTAATTTCTGTTCTTCTTTTCTGTCTCCCCCCGGCCCTGGCCGTGCAGAGCTCTTGTCTCCTGGTGTGCACAGCTTGTCCTGCCTGCGCACCAGCAGCCTCAGCTCCGCCCGCACTGACTCCCGCCCCAACCCCCCCTTCCGACACCACTTCCTCCCCCATGTCCAAGGTAAGGAGGCAGGCCTCTGCAGGCAGCAGCCTGCGTCGTGGAGATTTATTAGCGCCCGGGCAGAGCTAATAAGGTGTATCTCCAAGAATGAGTGCTGCCAAGCTTCTGACTCCTCAGCATGCCTGTGTGTGCCACGACCGTACCCCATGGTGGTCTTAGAACTGGCATGGCATCTCTGGCTCAGAGAACCATATCATTTCTAAGGGCTCTGGATGAAGAAGCAGGAAGCGTCTTTAAGACAGAACACTTACTGCCCACCTCCTAGAAAAAATATATATTACTATTTTGTTTTTATATGCATCAAAAGCAAAATATGATATATGGTTGGGATATTTCCCTGTGTTTCATATGCAGTGTGTCTCAGCACATCAGAAACATACTTAACAATGACTGAGCAGAAGTTGTCCTATTGGCAGTAAGCCATTTTAACTGCATCAACACACTTGTGTGGCAGGCAGCGTAAACTAAATGTCTCTCTTGGAGCCTGCGCCCTGTCTCCTTTGGGTCTGCTGATTTCCACATGATGGAGAGGGAAGGCTCTGCACTCTGTCTTCACTCCCTCCATAGCATCCCCCTCGTTGGCTTCATTGTTGCCTGTGCTTCTGGGGAGGTCCTCGGCCTGGGAGCTTCACTCCCAACGTGGGAGGCGCCCCCGAAGAAGCTGTGACAGGAAGGTCATGTCAGTGTGAACCCCCAGAGGGATGTTGGTGCCTTTGGTTTTGATGAACCAACAGAAAGAGCTGAGGGAGGGAGGGAGGCAGGGACCAGCACAGGTGTGATCAGGGATGTGAAACAGTCCAAAGGCCCAGAAAGACGAATGACACATGTCTTCACTCACCTGCAAACTGGAAAAGCTGATGTCAGAGTGCAGTAGAGGTCACCAGGGCCAGGAGGGGCGAGAGGCAAGCACATCACGAAACAGAAAGACTAAGGCCTAGTACTTGACAGACGCCTTGGGAGGGTGGCCACAGTCCACAGCAACATGTTTGCTAAAGAACTGGACAGATTGTGTTTTAAATGGCAGATGTTTGAAAAGATAGAAATGCTGATTACCCCAATTCATTCATTATATTTTTAAAGATTTGTTTATTTGAAAAGAAGAAAGACACACAGAGAGATATAAAGAGATCTTCCATCTGTAGGTTCAGTCCCTGAATGGCTGCAACAGCCAGGTCTGTTCCAGGGTAACCAGGAGCCAGGCTCCAAGAACTTGGGCCATCCTCCACTGCTTTCCCAGATGTAGTAGGAGGGAGCTGGATCAGAAGTGAGGCAGCTAGGACTCAACCCAGTGCTCATAGAGGATGTCGGCACTGCAGGCAGCAGCTTAACTCACCGAATCATAACACTGGCTCCAAACGATAATTTAAAATCCAGTTGTAAAGGATTCTAGCCATGTTGTCTGTATGCTGTTATCACTATTACATTTATTGACTAGCCTGAATGTGCCCTAATTTATTGAATTTTTACCATCAGCATGTCCAAGCTTTTTTCTTTTTTTTTTTCACTTGGATTATTAAGTGGGGAAAGTGTAAATATATTGCACTTACCACTATGCCATGATGCCATGGATTTACTCTTTCTGCATTTTCTACATTTTGAAAATAATATTGCAAACTTCTTAAAACACACACCATTTGCCCCTAATAAAGTTTTCAGTACTCTCAGATATCTAAAATTCTTGGCATATTATTAATGTTAACATTGCTAACCAGTATTTTTGGGAGAAAGTTTTATTATCTAAATACCAAGATAATACTTTTTAAAATGTTTCTAAACATAAAGAAATCATTGACAAGATAACTTTAATATGGCAGCCCTTGACCAAGTGAATATTTTGGTGATTTCTAACGTTTAAGAGAAAATTTCTGATGCATTCAACCCCCTGCATTTGGTAACTGTCTGTGTCCTTCCTCAGAGAGATAACTTCTATTGCATGAAAAGCACTGGGCCCCAAGAGCTCGTTCACAGTGGGTGCAAGTAGCTTACCCCAGAGTATCCATAACTCACAGCATCTCCCAGCTGCAAGTTCCCCATGGGACACCCTCAGATGCCGGGGTCTTGAGCTTCGACACCACCTGTCCCTGACTGCGTGGATGGCGTTGAGCTGTTTACTTACGCTCCTGAGTGTCACAGATCCAGATGGATGAGACCTGTCCCCCAGCTGGTTCTGATGTGTGGGCTCCTATGCCCCGTTCTTGGACCCCTCACTATGGTGTTTTTAAAACACCTGCTGTCACCCTGTTCCAGTCACTCTCCATGGTGTCCCTGGAGGGAAAGCCAGGAAGAAGATGAAGAAGCAAAGGCCGGGTAAATCCTGGCCGAGGGCCAACAGAGAGCTGCAGTACCTAGGCCAGCCCCACAGCCCTCTCACCCCTGGGAGTGTGCATTCCCACTGGCACCTGCGCTTCAGAAAAACTACAGGAACTATAATTTCTAAAGCAAACTCTTATTTTCCATCTCTTTTTAAGCAATTTAATTTTTCTTAATATATTCTTTTTTTTTATTTGAAAGCTCCAATCTTCTGATTATTCCTCCAAATTGCTGTAATGGCTAACATTGGACCAGGACAAAGCTATGAGCCAGGAACTCCCTCGGGGTCTCCCCTATGGGGACAGTGACCCAACAACTTGAGCCGTTAGCTGCTGCCTCCCGGGATATATGTTAGTAGGAAGCTGGAATTGGGGACAGACATTCTGGTGAGGGATACAGCCTTCTCAACGCACCTCTTAACCAGGACAACAAATACCCACCCGTACAATTTCATTCTTCTTGAGGCCACAGCAAAGAGTTACTTCCAGTCATTTAAAATAGAAAAATAAACAAACTTTACTTTTCAGGAGCAAACCAGAGCACCTCTGTGTGTCTAAATGATGGTTTATTTAAAATATAGTTCTGCATTGTTTTCTATCTTGGCTGAATTTGGAGTTTTTGACATAGCTATTGTGACTTTGGGTCATGAAATGTATTTGGTCAAGAGGAATTAGCATGACACTGAACTTACAATCTAAAACACACCTGATAGTCTCTGTCTTGCTTTTGATGGACGTGGGTCCATAGTTTGTTCATTTGAAGTAGTCGGTATACTTCACATTCACATGTAAGTACCAAGAAAAAGGTGAGAGCTTTAAAATGGGACAGCATCTCCCAGGACCTTCTGTGGTCCTCATGGACACATCCGCTCAAGCTCCTGGAGTTTGTCTTGCCATCTTGGAGGAGTTATATTTTTAATGGATGTATGTGCTAAAGTGCTGTATTCAAGTTAGTCTGACCATCTCAGTGACAGCCACCAACCAGCCTCCCAAGGTCCACGTCCACTTGCTGGTCCTCATTTCTGATGCCTGTGACCCAGGCCTGAGGAGCTCACTGAGCCAGGGATGCCCGTGCAGGCGTGGAGCTGAGCCACAGTCTGCTTCGTTGGCTTCCCCACCCAATCCCTGTCATGTCCATGATATTTCCAACCTTCCATGCAGCCCCGCAGTGTATTTGTCATCCCTGGCAGCCATTTGGACAACTGCAGGGCTAGCAATTGGGATAACCTGTTCTGCCATAGATTTGAATTGCTAGGAAACAAGCATGGATTTAGTACTTGCTGCAGGAAAGCATGAGTCTTTGAAGTTTTAGACAAGAACCAGTACTCCTGAAACTGTCAGAAAATTCTCGATGCTGCTCCACCTTTGAGGTCCCTTCCAGCTTGTTGCTTATATTTTTAAATGTAAGCACTGAAAGTCCTGTAAGCCAGCAGTTCTCCAGGAGGGACCATCAGCCAAATTGTGCATCAACATTCCTGTTCACTTGTCTTGGAATAAGTCAGTTGACTTCTCATGGAACCCAAGCAAAGAGTGATGAGGGACAGGTGTTTGGCACAACAGTTAAACTACTTCTTGGGACACTGCTACCCACATAGGTTGCCTGGTTTGTGTTCCAGTTCCTTCTTTTGTGATCCAGCTTGTATGCACCCTGGAAAACAGCAGATCCTACTACCTGTACGGGAGACACAGATGGAGTTCCTAGCTTCTGGCATCAGCCTGGCCCACCCTTGGCTATTTGGGGATTGAACCAGCAGATGAAAGATCAGTCACTCAACCTTTCTCTGTCTTCCAAATATCATGGAAATAAAGAAAGAAAGAACCAAAGGAGAAGGAAGAGTAGAAGCATTTCAATTTATTAAGCATGGTGAGAATTCTGCAGGTGAATGATCTCCCAGCAACTAAAAACCTGCTTAGTAGACTGACAGAAAAGAAGCAAAAAATGAAGGCCAAGAAGTATAAATGCAATTCTAGAGTTTCTCACACAGCAACTTACAGTGACCTAACCCAAGACAGATTAGAAGGAAAACAGGCCTGTAAGTGTAACATGTGCTTTCATATGGTATATACATGGCATAATAAACAATGTCCTAGCCCAGGCTGACAGATGATGATGATAATGGCAATAATAATAATAATAATACCTTCCAATTATGCTGTGATGCCCACTCCCCCCACCAAGATTACCTTGCCCACGTAATGAACTAAATGCAAAACCTCCATAGGATCTTCATTACCCACATAGGATTATTTCCTGGCAGAGAAAGGTTGAAAGTTATATCATTTGGAGGCAGTGTTAGAAGTTAAAAAGAAGCCTTGCCTTGGAAAATTTTCCTTTCTTTTGTGAAAAATGCCAGGAAGTTTTCATGTCTGTCTAAGAACTGAGCACCTGGCATCATCCTCTACCCACAGACCTTCTTCCACAAGGAGCCATTGCCATGTGTGCTGGGCATGTGACGCTGAGTCCCCTTTCCCGGGGTTGTGGGAAGTGTTGAACAATTAAAAGTGGGAGTCATGGTGCAGTAGTTAAACTGCCACTTGGGACGCCTGCATCCGCCCCTGCTTCAAATCCAACTTCCTGCTAATGGGCACTCGGAGATAATAGATGACTGCTCCAATACTTGGATTCCTGACACCCACATGGGAGCACCAGAGGGAGTTCCAGGTGATGGCTTCCATTGCTGCTTAGTGGCAGAGGGTCTTTGAAAAAGGAAGGTCTTCATATATGGACACATGTCTAATTGTCATTACCTTGTGTGTGCTTGACCCTGGCTAATATTGGTAGATGCAACAGGGCACCATTGGTTAGGGGCTAGAACCAAGAAGGACATTTTTGTAAAGCAGCTAATGTTCTAAGAGGACAGTGGAGTTAGAGGTGAAAGGTCATTGCAGTGTGGTTCCAAAGCAGGCAGTAGACAGGACTCGGGATATACAGGAAGAATCTTCAAAAGACATTAAAATGAAGCTGAAAAGTAGAAAATCCCAGAAAAAATAGTATGCTTTCCAAGTACGGGTTACTCCTGTTAATAACTTTCTTTTCAGAAAGTATTTATTTTGTTTGTGTGAGAGGCAGAGAGAGAGAGTCAGGATCACATAGTCAGAAACAGGCCAAATGGCTCATCTCCCCAGTGCCCGCGGCACCTAAGACTGGGCCAGGCAGAAGCCTGGAGCTGAGAACTCAGTCCCAGCCTCCCACATGAGTGGCAGGGGCCCAGCTCCCTGGAGCATCACCTGCTACCTCCCAGGGTACACATTAGCAGGAAGCTGGAATCAGGAGCCAGTCAGGGGCTCCCACCCAGGTGCTCTGGTGGGGGATGTCCCAAGCACCGAATGCCACCTCAGGCACCGAATGCTTGTCTCATTAAGAATTTTCTAACATTATCAGGTTCATTTTTCTGAAGCTATCTAGGGCCCATCATTATGGGAACATGATGCCTTTGCTGTAAGCGAGTGTCTGCCTTGTTTAACAGGTTAGAGAAAGGTAGCGTCTGAACTTACATTGGTGCTTGCTAAAGTGATCCAGTCAACAGCTGTGGAATGAATTAGTGGGCCTACTTCACTCATTCGTCCATAGCCATTTATTAAGCACCTGCTCCTGAGCAGACAATAAACCGAGCACTGTGAGTGAAGAACGAGACTGAATTCTACCTCGGCCGTGGGGTGGACAGAATTTCTCTCAAAATTCTTTCTTCCCCAATTCACCTCTCTCTGGGCTTTATAATCCTCATTTTTTTTTTCATACCTGAGTAGCTATTTTACCATAGGAGAGTGGCAGTAAATGAAATCACTTTCCTTTAAACTGGCTGTTCCAATACATGAGGCATTTAGGGTCAGAATTCATCATTTTAGTTGACTTTGTAAAATGTAGAAAAAGAGAAGCTTCAAAATGCTCATTACCAAAAGCCTGGAATCTAAATTGGAGCCAGTGAGCAACGCAGCTTCCAGATTTGGAATGTCTTACTGTGCAGTTGGTCCAGCCCTAGACTCTGGTTACCTAAAAATATACCTACGGAAAAATGGAAACCATTCAGCATATTTTGATATTCTTGCAATTAACTTCCTCCATATCCTGCTGGCCAGTTTTAGGACAATTAGATGTGAAAAGAAGTGGTTAGAGTTCTATTTTCTGATGACCCATGATTTAAGTATTTGCATCAGTCAGTAATAATCTAAAACTATGTTTCAGAAGGCACAATTGGAGAAATTAAAAACAGCCTACAGAATGTGACTGTTAATGATGTGCCTGTTAATATGTCTGTATCTAATAAGAAACTTGTATCCAGAACATTTAAACAACCCTCACAACTCAACGGTAAAGACATTAGCGGTACTAATTCGTCAAGTGTCGGTAGCCTTGGGACTTCTGTCGTGTTCTTGGGCTAAGATGGTCACACACAGGGGAGCAGGAGGAGCTGTGAGAGTACTTGCTAATCTCTGCCCAATTTTGCACAAGCCTCAGTTCATCCCAGAAGCTCCCTTGGTCTGAAGGGGTGCCCGTGGCAGGATGACTTGTACAGTCATGCCCCAGTCCTCTGTGCCAGCCTTCCCCCTTCCCCACGCTCTTCCTGAGATGCACTGGACTGTCCAGCACAGTACCCGATCCCGGTGCTCCCACACTCCACAGCCCTGCCCCATCCTGCTTGCTCATGGTGTTCCCTGTCCTCTTCAATAGGGGCCTTCCTCCTCTGCCCGTCCATCCCGCTGGGGAGGGGGAGGGGACGTCCCCTTTGATGTCCAGCTCAAGGCCAACATTTCTGTGCATTTCCTGAAGAATTCCTGACACCTGAATATATGTTTCATGCCATTTTTCTTGCAACTGTGAATAAGCCATCATGTGCTGTTTATACCAGAAAGGAGGGAAAAACTTTGCATAGGATTTCAAATGGTTTTTTTTAAAATATATTTTAATCGTTTTCCACAAACTTTTTGAATTCCCTTGTATTTACTTTCAGTCTTCTTCCTTGGCTAGACTGAGGGCCTTGAGGGCACAACCATAGCTCCTTCCTCTGTCCTCAAAAGCAGTTCTAGTTCTCAGTCGGAGCAAGCTTTCGGTATGTGTGCTAGTGACTCAAGCACAGTGCCTGGTGGAGCCTGTCTTTGATGAGAAAGATAAACAGGGGTAGAAATGGTCCCCTAGCACCTGTGGGGAAGGGTCTGATTATACTTCACATGTTTCAAAATGGGGAAAACAGAAACATACACTGCAGTGAAGGTACCACATATTCTGAAGGGGAACGATGGGGGACCACACAGGTTTTCCCAGATCTAACCCTCATTGGAACTTACCATCATGCCCTGAACTATCTGGGTTTGCAGAGCCCAGCCCTCCACATGCTTGGGGTTTAACCCTGTAACTGCTGATTGTGCATCAGTAGCCAGGGACCTTCCATTCCTCCACATGCATTTGCCATCTAATGCATTGGCTGCAAGTTCACGACTTCCAACCGCATGCCATTGGAATGATGCATCTGACTGCTTGGAACCTGGTTCCACCTGACCTCAAATCTTTCCTTTGGGAAACTCCACCTGGTATCATTTTTGCAAGCCAAGTTGGTAAATGGAGTTATTTCTTTAATTTCTCCTTCCTGATGTACCTCCTTGTTTGGAATTTTTTATTGCACTTGCTTTGTTTCCTTGATTGCTGTCCCTTCTCTCATTTTGTCTTCTCCATTCTTCTCATTGGAGGCAATGAGCCATCCAGCGGCCGGAACTCCCCTCTCCCTTACCGGCCAGACAGCCGCCCTCTAACACCAACTTACGCTCAGGCCCCTAAACATTTCCATGTTCCAGGTAGGAGCCGACACGTCTCTGTCTTGGTGTCCTGTCGCCGTGTAGAGTGTAGCCTTGTAACCTCGTCTCGTCTCCATTTTCATGCTCACGGTTGACAAACCCTAAATTGCAGGATCTGACCACCGTGGCCTTTCAGATTTTTTTTTTTAAGTGAAATGCCAGGTGATGCAGAAGGTTTCTATTTCCTCAGATTTATTTTTAAGATAATGGAAAGCAGAGGGTTACAGTGTCACGTTTTTTCTTTTACCAAAATTTTAATTCAGCCTTTATCTTTCTATGATACCATCCCGTGGCTTGAAGTTATTGCCTGATGATGACAGTGGCAATCTGGTTATCATTTCATCCTGAGAAGTGAGCCACAGTGTCACCTGGGAATACTTTGATATTTCCCCATGGGGAGATTTTTTTCCGATGGACTTTACCTTTGAGAAGGCTATAAAATGGGATGAGTGCCATGACTTTCTGTGCTGTGTAACTCACAGAATTGGCCACCTCCCCAGCCCACACAGATATCTTGCAATTTAGGCCCGGTGCTGCAAGGTTTGCACTAGAAGTCACAAGCGCTTACTCGCTGTCACAGTACAAATCATAATTTGTCACCAGCTGAAAAAAATTAGAGCCCATCAAGATTGTAGTCTTAGAGTCAGTTCAACATCTACAGGTGGGATTGGCCATCACAGGCCATGCTGTTATTTTTCTATCAGAAATACGTTGTTTTCCTTCATTTCATGACTAAAGTAATTTAGTGAATTATGTATATGTGTATTTGAGATCTCTCTCTCTCTTTTTTTTTTTTGCTTTTCTTTCTTTCTTTTTTTTAATAAAGCAAAGGAAAGTGTAATGAGATATAAACCATTAAGCTAGGACTTAAAATTTTTTCATTAAATGTTGGTATTCAGTATATATTTGGGCTTTTCATATGAAGCATTCCCCTGCCAAGATCTGGAATTGGCTTAACATTTATAGCTCAAGTGGAGTGGTGGCATAATCAGTCCTGTATAAGTGTTTGAGTAGTATTTAGAATTTCTTTTTTTTCCGGTTTCTTTTAATTTGACCTATAACAATTAGGATTTTGTTGACCATCCTGTCAGCACTCAGCTTTGTCCATTAAAAGTATTTCTATGTTTTTTTTTTCAAGTACCCTTAATTTTCCTGCATTTGCTTTCCACCGTTCCATTCATTAGTTGCAGAGTAAATTGAGCCACTAGTGTCTGCTGGTAGCTCAATTTCTAGACAGTAGCAGTTTGGGGGTATCCCTCAAACCTGTTATGTCTTCCACATTGTTAGAGCACCTCCACTGCCTGCATTTCTTCCTGTTTTAATTCCATGTTCAGTGAAGTGTGTTCAAGAAATAAATGGCTCATGAACCCGTTACATGTCTGTAAATCCTAAGATGTATTACAAAGGCATACATATTGCTTGTGTCTGTAGAAATTCGCTCATTTCTGTGACCTTTCCTTCAAATAAAGTCAACTTTGTAATACAAGAGTTAACCTTCTGGGTTATTTCTGTTCAGGAGTCTTCAGTTTGGTGTGCCCTTTGGTTGGTCTGTTTTCCCCATCTCCGAAGTGGCTCCCGTAATCACACATCTTTGCTTTTCATTTCCACAGATCAAGGGATCAACATTTACCGAAAACCACCCATCTACAAGCAGCACGGTAAAGCCCCCTTTCCTCCGCGCAGCCCTTAAGCCACAGTCCGCGATGTCCTCTTTGCTTTTGCTGCCCTCCAAAAGGCTTATCCGCTGCTGCCTTGGAGACTCAGACTGGGGTGTCCAGCGTAATGTGCCTTTGTGATCTACTAAGGTGCAAATATTGTGAAATGTATTTTCATGAAAAAAGACCACTTACCTTGATTAGAAAGGTTCCGAACAGCCCATTTCTGAGACCACCAAAGCATGTTATTATTTCATTCCTGGAGAAGGGAAAATATTAGCCACTCAGCTATAATCATCCTAATGGAGATTTTTTTTTTTGGCCAATCAGTTATTTAACCAACCTCTAAAATAATGTTGATGAGTTTCCAGTTACTCTATTTAAGACTAATGAAAACCACCTGTGAAAACTCAGTTTGATGAAGTGTCTGATAGGGCCTGTGGTGACTGTCAGGCAGATGGGACAGGAGCTGGGGTGGGTGGTGGCCGTGGTCCCGCTTCCTACCTGAAAGGCTTGGTGATGCCCTAGCTGTCGTCATGCAGGGTTCACTCTGCCCCTGCACACTAACATCAGTGAGTTCGTTCATTGTGTTCCCAGAACTCCCACAAAAAAAGGATGGAGATTTTCTTTTTAAGCTCAGGAAATCACTTCGCTTTATTGTCTGCCACCATTGTTAGGTCCCAGAGGTGTAAGTACCACTGAACTTTCTGAACAGAGAGCCACACATGATCCTCAGGGCTTTTTACACACTGGGACACAAGTTGTGCCCGAAAACTTGGAGGTTGCTTTTAAAAACCACTTAGAATTAACGAACTCTTAACAATTCAGATGACGTGAAAAATCAAATTGGAGCAGCATAAGGAAAAAATTTAGGCAAAATTCTTAGAGAAATTACAAGAGAAAATATGTATTGTATTGGGTCAAAGCTACAGAATGTGGTTTTTTCCCCCTCATCTTTTTTTTCTTTTTTTTTTTTTTTAAGTTTTACACCATGTGCTTGCTTTTTAAGTTTGTTAACATTGTTTTTGTTTTTGTTTTTGTTTTTATGGTTTAATGTCCTCTCACACACTCATTAACATGTGAATGTTTAACTTCTGACTTCACCAATTCTAATACGTAAGTACTATTTTGAAGTCATGCTTTTTTTTTTTCAGGTTACAAGTGAGATTTCCAGAGTTGTACTTATTATTAAAGACTTTCAAAATATTGAAATATCAAGGCCCTTTCTCCTTGAACAAAAATAATCAAAGAATTCATATTTAAGGTTAATGAATAGCATTAGATTATCTGAAAGAAATAGTTGGATTCTTTTCATTATGTTTCTTTGACTAAAGTCTTCCCTTTGGTCTATGGTGACACAGCCAGGGAATAACTTCCCGAAGAATAATCCCTGAAACAGTCTTTACATGTCAAAACACTAAATGCTGTAGCCACACTTGGTGTCTGCCTAGAGGCATTTAGAAAATACTGGATTTAATGGAGTCACATATAATATAATATAATAGAATAGAATAGAATAGAATAGAATAGAATAGAATAGAATAGAATAGAATAGAATATATAATTTATATTTATATTTATTGCAGGACTTCTCAGTCTTCCATCTGCTAACATGTTTTAACTATTTTTAACAAGAGGGTTTACTCTGTTTTCTAAGCAGAAGTTACTTTCTCATGAGATCAGAGATTCAGAGAAATACTGTTCTATTCCTGATCAAGATTTTAAATTTGATTGTTGGGAGACTTTGGTCAAGTTTAAGCAAATTGAGGCTGAGGAGATTGTTAAAATAGAGGAATTAGAGCTGAAGATTTGAACAGTTACTTATAATACTAACTATCTTCAAAAAGTCCATGGAAAATGCATATTATGAAAAACTAGCCATTAAGGGTTTTTTTTTTTTCCACCAATATAAACTTACCTTTTAATTTCATTTTCCATGAACTTTTCAGAATGCCTGCATATGTGGGCCTAGGAGGGAAAAAATACATTCTTAAAAAAAACCTGAGTCTTTATAAATATATTTTACCACATTTGCTGAGCTCCCAGGCCACTTTGTAAAATGAGTCTGAGCCATGGACTAACCCTTTAACCTGATTGGTTGGCTCCATCTGTGATTCAAACTAGGACTTTAAGCCAGTAGAGCTCCTCTAACCCCAGCTAGTATTAACTTTGGGAATTAATTCTACTGTTAATTTGACTTCTGTTTTAAAATTGGTTGACTCACTTCTATGTACAAAGCTTTGAACTAAACGATGATATTTCTGCAAATTGAAAGTAGGTGTTTCTTATTTCATCAAGGAGGCATATTTAGTATGTAAGGATTTAAATAAACTGAACCAATATATTTGTGGCTTTCTGCCCAAAACACAGAATCAGTCTGCTTTCTAAAATGGGCAGCTGTGGTCCAAGAGAGCATCCTGTTTTTTGGCTTAGTCCTTTGATTTCAAATTACTAATTCAGTTACTCAATGGGCCTTTCTACAGTGATGTTCTAGGTTTGCACTGTCCAGTTCAATAGCAACTAATGACGGGTAACTCCTGAGCCCACAAAATATGGCTAGCACAGAACTGAGGAACTGAATTTTCATCTTAATCGTTTTTGTTTGATTTTATTTATTTGGATTTGATAACCATGTTTAGCACGCAGTGGACAGTGCGGTTCTTGAACAAGGCTTAGCTGTCCAGCAGACACTTCTGTTGGCAAACAAGGGGAAAAAGTTGTCGGAAGACACCGCTGAGTGATGGGGCAGTTAATAAGGGTGATAACTGGAATTGGAACTTTGTCCAGGGAACAAGATAGCCTGGTCAGTATGGTTGTAGCCCTGGCCTTACAGATCGAGAGCTAAGCCACCTGATTCCCATCTAGATGCAGCTGCCTTGGCAGCCCAGAACAAGTCTTCAGAAGACATCATCAAGTTTTCCAAGTTCCCAGCAGCCCAGGCTCCAGACCCCAACGAGATTCCAAAGATTGAGACGGACCACTGGCCTGGTCCCCCCTCACTGGCCGCCATAGGTATGCGACTTTTACAGCTACGTCAAATGGAGAGTTCCAAGTGGAACATTTCTTTGAAACCCATGAAAGAAAGTGTGCTCTATCATAAAGATGTTGAATGAAAGTGCACACGAGAAGTGGGACCATGAAAAGAATGAACATGGCATTCATTTGTGTAAGAGATACTTACAAGCCAACAAGCCACAGTAGTGCATCTGCCAGAACCTTGCTTTAACCAAACCCACTGAGACCCAGAATTGGTCTAAAACAGGTCATTTATATGAACGCTGGCAGTAGCAACTGTAAAATCAGCCCCTCTCTGATCACAGTTAAGTCAAAATCTTGTGACAAAAACGCCGTCTCCAGCTTTAAAGTCTGTCTAGTGTCCCAGGGAGCGTGATTTCTTTCTGTGAAATCTGTTTCAGACCAAATCTGGGTGGTAGTTAACAGTTCTCGTCGCAGCGTATCTTAACAGGGAAGCACGCTCACTTTCTTCCTGTGGCCACATGCTCGCTCCATCTCTGGGAAGGGCTCGGACAGGGTAGCAGGTGTGTCCTGCAATGCCACCAGTATGGAACCCCGTGATGTCTCACCTGTCATTCCCATGGCTTCTGTGTTCAAGTGTCCTGTCAGAGCTGCACCATTCTTTGCGTTATTCTTTCATATCATGTCTGTGTCTTGACTATTTTGTCACTAGTGAGGTCTCTCAGCCTCAGGAGAGGTCCTAGCAGAGCCCAAGGCTCATCCTGGAAAATGTGGTGAACAGCTTTTCCGAGTTAGAGCAGTTTAGGCCCTGTCAGCCGTGCAGAAGATGGGACCATCCTACCACGTGGCTACTGACAACCCAGAATGCCCTCACTTTTCCAAAACATCCGAATTAATCTTCCTCATCATGCCACACTGTCAGGTTATTTTTAGAATCACTTTTATCCAAAACAAGCAGATTTTAAAGCAGCTAATAGTTGGAATCAATGTTACCTCCTCAACCCATTATTCACAAGCATTCAAACCATTATGTTGAGATCTAATGTTTGTGGACTTGTATGTCCTCAATATTGTTAATATAAAGAGAGAAAACTCACATGGACGTTTATCATTTTAAGAAGTGAGATTCACTTGGCAGCTTTTCTCACTGATCACTTCATTTGCTTCAGGAAGTCCCTGGGGTCCCCCCCCAGGTCCCTGGCTCGGTCGTGTTACTTACTGTGAACACTAATAAAGCCATGTTGTAGGGGAGAATTACATTTTTATTGTTGGAACTATTGCCACTAAGTGGTTTAAAATTCCTTTAGACGTCTGGTCTGTTCATTGGAATAATGAACACTAAAACCATTAAAGTTTATTTTCATTAGATTAGCAAATGTTCCTGTTTCCTCCCAAGCCAGATTCGTTTTTGGAAAAACAGCAATTATCTCCATCTTCCAAACACTCACAGATTTCTCCTTTCCATTCCCTGTCTCCCCTTTCCAGGAAGCTAGAAAGTTGTACCTAATTTGGCATATTGTTCCAGACTAACTTTTTAGCTGTTTAAACACTACTTATCTATCAGTATAAAACTCTTTTGTGGCCATTTTTCAAAGGATGAAAAAAAAATTAGAGACCATCTCTTGAACGAAATGCTGGCAGTCATGCGTTGTAATGAGTATAGTAAGTTCACAGAAAGCAGCATGATCATATTATGAAAACCCTAAAAATACTCAGAAAAGGTGAATTTAAAAACAAATCATCACCAAGTGTGGCTGTTTTACCTGTTCCTTGGCATTAGGTCGATTTAAATTCCTCTCTTTTTGAAATCGGATCCCAGGGGTGTCCAAATTATGACTGGCAATGCACTCCCTTCTTCCTGTAGTGAACTCTGACCAGTAGTTAATGGAATGATGTAGACTCAGTCGCAATGGCAAGCCCAGTTCTAATTGAGCGGACTAGTTCTTGAAAGACCCCAGTGCTTGAGGCGTTTACATCCCACCCTGAACCCACTTGTTCGAGGGGCCCTGTATTCTATGAAAAACCCAGGAAGTAGTTTCCCCTTGGTGGCAGGTGCTTCCCCCCTTGTGGTGTTCCTACAGCCATGTACAAAGCCACTATAGGCCCCACCTGCCGAACAAAAACTGATGGACTAGTCCTTTAGAACATCCCACTCCGGAGACTGGCAGGTTGAAGTTGTCTTTGCCGTGGCATTAGGAACCGACACGAGACGCAGATCTGGTGGCAGGGAGGAAGACGACGAGGAGCTGCTGAGACGCCGACAGCTTCAGGAAGAGCAATTGATGAAGGTTTGTCCTTGAACTGAACGACTACTCTGTGTAAGCCAGCAAGGGAGGCAAGAAGTGGTCCTGACCCTCAAGGGTAGACAACACAGACACTCAGTACCTCGAGGTAGCACCATATGCCCCAGGCTGAAGAGGAGCTGACCTTGAAGTGGGGGTGGGACATTTGGGGTTCCACATGTGTGCAGGTGTGTGTGTTGCCAGGATGCTGAAAGCCAGGTGAAGCAAGGCACCTTTCTGCCCTGTGCCCTCTCTGCTGAGGCTCTTCCCTTGGCATTAAGCACCTTTGCAAATAGTTCTCCAGGACTCTTAGGACCTTAGATTTCAAGCTGAGCCAGGAGAAAGAGGGAAACAGCCAGCAAGTGGCTTCCTTCATAGCCCCTCTCCTCCAGTGAATGCCTGCAGCATGGCAGGATTGCCATGAGACAGGCTGGTGAAGCCTTTGAAGTGTTTTCCGAAGATGTGGGGAGTGCCATGACATTAATTATGTGTGTGTTGGGGGAGATATCAGGGGACATTTATGATACATCCTAGTTTTGTATAATATATAGCAAAATGTAATTGGTGTTCTCTGGGAGTGATGGATTGTGGATTACTCATCTTCTAGATTTTCCAAGACCTGTTCAATGAGCAAATATCTCCACATTTTTCCTATAAAGAAATGAATGCTATTTATTTTTTAAGGATAGGCCCACCAATTCCCTGTCCATATCAAACACTCAGATGCACACACGCACAACTTCTGAGGTCACATGCTAGCACTTTGGGGGAGGGAAAAAGAAAGAGAGCATTCCTTAAGCCCAGCTTAGGAAAGTGGAGCCTCTACACTGGAAAGGCTAAGCAGGGTGTAGGATCCAGAACCTTCCTCTGCAGCAGCCATAGGCTCTGGGGCCGCATACATCCAGGCCATCCAGAGTCAAACTCTTTGCAGGGCCTTCAGGAAGGACACTAATGTCTCATGACAACGCAGGCTTCATTTGTATTTTTCTCTTTCCATTCCTTAGCTGAACTCAGGCCTGGGGCAGTTGATATTAAAAGAAGAGATGGAGAAGGAAAGCCGGGAAAGGTCAGCCAGTCGCCATGACTCTCCCATCCATTCAGGTAAGCAACAAGTCCCCACCTTACCAAGAGCCAAGACCCGGGAGCCTGCCCGGACCATTGCAGAAGAGACAAGACCCCTTGTGGTGGGGTCTGTAGAGTGAACTCTAGGAAAGGAAGGGGGTGCACCCACTTCCAGTCAACCTAGATGATACGCAGCTGTGGCAGTCCTTGACATACGTGCTTCCTGCCTTCTGGGAACAGAGAAATTATGGGTGGATGTCAAGTACTGTGAGGGGCCAATTCCCACTTGCTAGTTCTGTCTTCTACAGTGCTTGTCTCAAGGGCAAGCGACACACAGAACTCCCTCAGATAGCAATCCTATATCTGGAGGATAAGGCCAAAACACTTCGAAAGCATTGTTTTAAAACTCTCCTGTTCAATATAATATCTGTTCAAAATAATCCTGACACTTTTGAAGGAAATTACTTAGACACTTGACTGCTATTGCCTATGAATCTATTTCCCTGTTAGTATTGAAAACTAAGCTGATATATCTAAGTGTATTCATCAACATGCCATAAGCCAGTTGTGGTTTTAATAAGCAAGGTGTCTTCTCTCATGTTCTGAACCTAAAAGCACAAGCCTCCTAAAGCATCACATTAAAAATTGTATTTAGTGTTTACTATTTGTATGCACATTTGTTAAACATTTCATGTATTTTCTGCAACACCTCAATGGAATAGATGCTGTTGTTACCATCATTGTCATTATTGTCCCCATTTTATAGATCAGGGAATAGGTATGGAAAACGTAGGGAACTTGCACAATGCCATGTTGCTAGTAATCCAAGAAGCTGGGATTTAGGGATCCAAGCAGAACCCAGAGCCTGCCCTCTTCCCCAGAAGGGCCCTGCAAGACCCCAGCCCCTCAGATGCCTCAATAATTCTGATTGAGGATTAAGTGTTTTGCTGATCTTCACAGTTCCTTCTCATCCTGAGATTCTGTTCTATACGAAGATAACATCCTTCCCACATACAGCAAAAATGGAAGATCTCAAAAAGGTTAAATATCATGTCCACAGTTACAAAGGTGTTAAGTTACAGGGCTGGAATTCAAGCCTAGGTACTGCCCCTGAATCTCCCCACACCACCCCAAGCCCAGCCACCAATGGAGCTAACATGTCCTTGACAATGGACGTTCCCCATTCCCAGGCTCCCAGAAGCCCCTGGCTTTGGCCAGGAGATCTTGGTTGCTGCCATACCAGTGGGAGCAGAGCCTTGTACACTCAGCTTCTGTTGGCTCCAGGTCTTGCTCAGCTGCCTTTGAACTGAGTGAACTTTGGCAGGGTACATAATTCCTCTTGGTTCCTGATTCTCTCTCCAAAAAATGGAAATGACAGAAGCACTGCAGGGTTGTACTGAGGACTCAAAGGAGTTGCACATGCTGAGTCCTCAGATATGTGCCTGATGTGCAGGGAGCACAGCCACTGGCCCCCATGGGACTGTGTGTGTCCCCCTCTGTACCCCACCTCCATCAGGTCACCGAAAGAGCTCCATTTCCTGCCTCAGCCAAGCAGGATGGGACTCATATTCTTTATCCTACATCTTCTGTTCTTGCGAGATTGAAGACATGCTGTCAAAAAGGCTTTCCAGGTCCTTAATTTTTGCCTTTTTTTTTTTTTACCCTGTTCTCTTTCAGTTCCTCATGCTCCATCATCTAAAACCTCATCTCTCCCTGGCTATGGGAAAAACGGACTTCACCGGGTAAGCAGTCTCTGGAGCTGACTGTGTCTGTGTTTGCTCGCTCCGCAGCCCTGGTGGAAGTGCGGATTTATTGCCTGAATCCATCTGACTTTACAACCTCCCCAAGAGCCCAACAAATCACTTTGAACTACAGGCTAGGTGAAATATATCCGTGGAGAGAAGAAGAAACAGGCTTTAGGTAGAACTAGTGCTCATTGTAAACTTAAGAGAACATTAGTTTATGTGGTGAGGGAAACAGTTTTACATTGAGGCAAGACAGTAATTACTTCCGCCATTACCACCGCTGTAAAAAGACAGAAGGTTTGTTGTAACTGTCCTCCCAGCAAGATATAGAACAAAAGTACACACCTGTGTTGGATCATGTAGCTTTCTTTGTCCACAAGAGATGCTTGCTTGCCAACAGCCTCCAGGGCAGTGGCATTAGATGCACCACAGACGACAAAGAGATGCTGCAGTAGTACAAGAATAAGTAGGAAAGAAAAAGATGAGGGTCAGGAACTTAGCTTGGGATGGACTGTTGGGATTTCCTAAGTCTTCCGTTCCTTTTCACCTGAATCCAGCACTGTTCCTGAGGTTTTCTCATAACATGTCTTTGATCGTTTCAGCCAGTTTCCACGGACTTTGCTCAGTATAACAGCTATGGGGATGTCAGTGGCGGAGTACGAGGTGAGTCCTCCACAACTAAGCCAACCACAGCTATGCCTTCCCTCGCGGCCAAGTTCCATGGGAATTCCGGGGTTACCACGCGCTGGCTAACTCCATGCTCAGCACATCCTAAGATAAGCTACTTCTCAGAGCTAACAGAACAACTATTAACATCTCCAAGGACCTCTAATGAAAGAAAACTCTGAAAGGCAAGCTCTAAGGACTCCTTCATTGCTCCTACTATGCCCTGAGTGTGCTACCAGACACCTGGGGGTAGAGCAATGAGCAAGGCACGGCCCCTCCTTTCAAAATGCACATGATAGGGGATGGGAGAGAGAGAAGGTGGCAGCGAGAGAAGCTCTGTGTTGAATGCAAAGATGTAGAGCAGTGCTTCCTGGCTTCAGGAAGGCAACAGAGACAGTGGATGTAGGGATGGGAGCAGGGCAAGAGCATGCTCATGTGAGAGTTGGAGCAGCTAGAATCTCACCTTCCCATTAGCAGCTCTATGTTTTTCCCTGACCTTTCCCTCATGGTATTTCTGTTGATTTTCCTTTGCAGACTACCAGGTATGGAACTCTTTACCTTCCTAGACTGGCCACAGCAGCGCAACAGCCATGCCCGATGCAGACAACATACCCCCGGGAAGCAGTTTCTGTGGGAAGATGCCTAACCATTACTCCCGAGGTGTGCCGAACAGGCCTGCCCAGTGCCTGGGGCTAGCTGTCCCCTTAGACCCTGCAGAGTCCTCTCCAGGGAGGAGGTGTGCCAGCGTCAAGGGTCTGCTCACATGCACTTGTGTCTCAGCTACAACCTCGGTCACTGGTTCCCCCTCTTCCTGCCCGTTCTCAAGTGGAAAGAAATTTATGTCTTTGCCAACCAGAGCATTTTGCCCATGAACCATTCCTTTTTCACTTGAACCTAAGTCTTGGGAAACTATGATGGAGAGTAATAAAGGAGAAATAGTGTACACACACACACACACACACACACACACACACACACACATGTCTAAAAGTTGGAAGAGCAGTAATAGAGTTGGTGATTTTCCATCTACTACATAGTTTTATGCATGGAGCCAATACAGGGACTCATCCACAGCTGTTGGGTCCTTCCCCAACTGAGTTACAAAAGAGCAATGTCCCTGCCCTTGCTCAGCAAGGGTCTCATTTCGGAGAAGACAGGGTAAGAGATGACCCATCTGGGGGTGGGGATCTGAGACTCCATAGGGATGCTGGGGAGCCCACCACACCCTCCCACCTCTTCCCTTTGCTATTTTGTGCCTTTCTGTTGCAGACCCTTCCAGATGGGCACATGCCTGCAATGCGAATGGACCGAGGTGTGTCAATGCCCAACATGTTGGAACCAAAGGCAAGTGCAGCCTCTCACAGGGGAGAGTACAGCCCTGAAAGATATGACTTTGTCTTTCCACCACTCTCAAGGTCTTCAGCCCCACTTCATTCGAAACTATGACTTTCAGGAAGCCATCACCTACAACCTTCCTTCCTTCCTCCCCACTCCGCCCACTGTCTTAGTCGTATCCAATCAACAACATTAAGCCGCTCCTGGGTGTTTTACTCTGGTCCCCAGTGAAGCACCAACACTTCCTACCCCGTGGCCCAGGTCCCTGACTCCTGCCACATGCTGAGTGGAGCAGCCAGGGACTGGCATAGATGAGGTGACCTCCCAGTGTGCCAGCACTTTCCAAGGATTAGCACTGAAAGTTTCCATGCCAGGAAACTCCTCTACCCCAGGCATACTGGCATGGCCAATCCCCTTAACTGCAGCACGCCCCAAGGGCTTGTGCTGCCCAGTGATTATGCTTGGAGCCACGTTAATATGCCAGTGGCCAGCATGCTGCCCCTGGATCTGCCTGGCTGCGTGCACTCATGAGCCTGCCATATACCAAGATCATTGAATCCTACACAGAGAGAGGTATCTGCCACGCAACAGCGGCATGCAAAAAATAGCATGTGCATCTGTAATTCTGTTCTAATTTGTACCTCGGTTCCAGGTACTGAGTAATTTAATATTCCTGCATGCAAAAAGCCTTCTTAAGACACAGTGCTAGGTGAGACAGCAATGAACGGGGGATGCATGGAACATGTCCATGCACCCTGGAGCTGGCCTTGAGGAAGGAACATGCATAACTGAGATGCACTCATGATCGTCTCGTGGAGGCTGTGTCTGGGGAAGAGCAGGGTTAAGGGGATTCTGCTTATTAATAGAGTGGTCAGCTGTGTTCTGGAAGAGATGTCTTTTCTTCTCAGATATTCCCATATGAAATGCTCATGGTGACCAACAGAGGGCGCAACAAAATCCTCAGAGATGTGGACAGAACCAGGCTGGAGGTAAAACAAAACTCAGTCTCACTGTAGACCCCTTTATATCCTTCAGATCTTCACCCCTCCCCCCAAAAAAATAATAAAAATCATCTTCACATTGTAGTTGAAGCTAAGAGATGACTTTGGAGGAAAGTCAAAATTGGTACTTAGAGCATCATTTGGAATATCTGATCAGACCCACAGGAAAGACCCCAAAGATGCTGTGTGTTGGTAACCATTTGCTTTAGACACAGTATTATTTTTGTCTATTTTCTCTGGAAATCTGATACTGATGTGATGGGGGCTGTGATGCAGAACGAGACTGGCCATCCATACACATACACGCATGCACGCACACACACACACACCACCTTCCCCATCCCCCACCCCGTTCACTCCTTATCTGCCCCTGAGCCTCGGTTGAGTTCATTTGCAGTAGGAGGACAGAACTCTCTGGCCCCATTTCTTGCTGGCTCTTTCCGCATTCCTTGTCAGAGGGTTATCTGGGTACATGTAGCCAAGGTCTCCTTTGGCGTGGAAGGCTGATCCTTGTATTTTCTATCTGAGTGATTTTAATTAAGGAAATCTCTGGCTGCCAGGCTCAGAGAGAATCATTACCTTGCCCAGACAACAAAGCAATGCCTTTGTAGGAGAGGCCAGGCTGGCGTGGAGAATAAAGGCCTCCAAGGAACGTTTTCTACAAGGGAGTGATGGCAGCCAAGAGGACAGGCATCTACTTGCTCCTCCTCCTATGGAGCCAGGAGGAAGCCCCTGACTTTAGCTTGCTGCAGCCTTGGTTCATTTTCTCTGAGTCTCCTTAACAGCGCAAGGACCTGACATGGAGCTTCTAACCGGCTCACTAATTCACCTTCTGATGGTCCATCAGCAGTCAGTATTATCCTAACACTGAGTTGTAACAGTGCCCTTAATATTCTACCAACTTTTTTGTCTGATGGGGAGGGGGCCTCACGTGGCCCAGGCAGGTAGGCAGGACTGATTGACATTGGCTAGTCACCAGCCTCAAAGGTTGCCCTGTCATTCTCTTTGCTCTTCTGAATGTTGACAGTCAATCCCATGGTATCCAAGGGGCATTTATCTTAGGATGCCAAAATCCATGTGTGTTCAAGTCCCATCTAGAAAGTGCCAGAGCATTTGTGTAGAACCTATACAATCCTCCTGTATTCTTTTGATCATCTCTTGATTACTTCTGATCCGAAAGCAATGTCAGTGTCAATAGTGGCTAGGGCCATGTTGTTCAAGGAGTGAAACCCAAAAAAGCAAGTCTGTGTGGATGTGGGACAGATCCCACGTTGTAATGCATGTGTTTCATCTACAGTCAGTTGGACCCACTCGTGAGGAGCCCCGAGTTGGGTCCAGGGAGGAGTGAGGTGCAGGGCCAGCATCACAGCTGCTCCACTCACTCTGCTCTGCTCTCTCTTTCCCAGCGTCACTTAGCCCCTGAGGTGTTTTGGGAAATCTTTGGCATGTCCATACAGGAGTTTGACAAGTTACCTCTCTGGAGACGCAACGACATGAAGAAAAAAGCAAAGCTCTTCTGAGGCCCCCACGTGAATGGCAACTAGAAACGGGACTGGCAATGGCCAGTTGATGCAAAAGATGTCCCAGGATGGCCCATACTTGATTGGAGGTCGTGCAAACTACTGTCCCTCAGCAGCAGCACAAAGGGAGAGTCTGGTTAAAACCCACCCATGAGCCAAATACGGGGCCCACCTTCAGTGACGCTTGGCAAGAAGCAGCGGGTTAGAAATTTCTATGTTCCCAAACTCAACAGGAGTGACCTTTTTACACGACCTTCTGTACACACAGAAGCTACTTCCTGTCTTCTTTCATTTTCCTTTAACTGTTGTTCAACAATAGTGCTGACTGTACAGATAAGAGCCAGCAAGTGCCCTTAGGATGCCGCATGGAGGGGAAACAGTGGCAATCATTCCAAAGTATGAATCCATCTTCCACATAGCACTGTGGCTAGGAAGGAACTGTCCAGGGGTGCCTGGCCACGTGGCAGCAACTACTTGGCATACAACCCTCTTTCCCAGCCTCCTGGGGCTCTGCCTGTGCCCTGACAGCCATGGATATCCATCAGAGAACCAAGCAGCAGCCAGCAGACTTGAGATCAGCAAAGATGGTTGATAACAAGCCCCTTTTTTCTCAACTGTGCCCTGGGACCTGGCTAGCCAACTGCTCAGCCATTACTCCAAAAACGAATAAATGAATGAAAAATGTAAAAAGCAAAGAAAAGGAAAAAGAATGAAGGAAACCCTCCCTGAACTCTTGGCCTGCCTCACATGGCATGCTTAGTTCTCGCTCCAGACCCAGGGCAGGAGCTGTCCTGGACTGCACCTTTGCGGAGAGATGAAAGACAGAGCTGTCTCCAGATTGGCCCAAGCCGCATGCTCCTAGGTGATTCTGTCTGCGGAGATTCCCCGCCAAACACCAAGCTGCTCGGTGCCCTCCTGCCACTGCACGTTCTTCCACCCAGTGTTCTTCCACCCTGGCAATGAGCCCCTGCCCGTGCCGATTTTGCTTTGGAAGGTCTTTGCAGGAATAGGCTAAGGGAAGGCCTGTTTTCGTCCCGGACGTCACTGCGATTCCCGAACAAGCCACTTCAGATGACTTTCATTTTGGCCTTAGCAGCTTCTTGCTGGCGCTGTTGACTCCATGGTGTGTGTGTGTGTTGGGGGCTGGGGGTGGGAAGGGTGGGACAGTATGTGGGTGTGTGCAAAGCTTACCCACGGCGGTTTGGAGAGTCTGCATGCGCTTTCTAAATTCAGCTTGATTGTTTAACCCACTGCACTGCAGCTTTCTAGGGGTCGTTTTCCCACATGTACGTGGCCTAGTGGTCCTGAGGGAAGGCAGATGGCTGCCCCAGCGTGAGGTGCTCAGAAGCCAGCACTCCCCACATGCTGGTGGAACTCATGGCAGAATCGGGCTGGAGATGGCAGAGCAGGGTGAGGCCGGGCATGGGGATCGGAGCAGCTCGGCCTCTGCAGTGCTCAGCTCCAAAATGAGCTTCTACTGGATCACATCCTGATGCCCGACCTGGGAGCAGTGAGGAAGACGCTCCCCAACTCCATCACCTTGACTCCCACACTGGACAGTTCTGCAAAGGAAGGATGAGCTCGGTCTGAATACTTGCAGGAGAAAGCTTGGAGGTGCACCTGCTTTTGCCGGTGTGCACACAAGCTCAGCACTTCTTCCCATCGGAACCGCATGTTAACATCACCAGCTCTCTGTGACACCAGTGGAAAAAAAAATGAAATGCAGTGGTTTCTGAACACGTGTCTCAGGCCTCTGTGACCTGCTTTCAGCTGCCTGGGCCCTGACGTAAACCCTGGAGATGCTTTCTAGTGTCCGCAGGAGCTGTTGCTGAAAGAGCCTGAATTTGCCTGCCTTGGCAGTGCTATGCATTGAATGAGAACTGGTCTCCCATGTATGTGTGTGTGTGTGCGCGCATGCACAGGACCTGCCAACCTATTCAACAAGTGGCTCTGATACCCTGGGCCTAAGTAGATGAGACCAGCTCCTGTTTGGTCTAAACTAAAGCTAGAAGACAGCTTGGCATCTTCTCGTCTCTTAGTTGCCTGCTACTGCATTTCAGATTTTTCATTCTGTCCTCTCCAGCAGCCCCAGCACAACGCTCAGTCTCCTGGTCTGGCCTTGTCCTGGCAAACCGTGGGTGAGAGGATTGTGACATCTTCCCGTGTTCCCCATTACAATTAGTAATAGTGGTAGCCAAGAGAGATTTTTTTGTTGTAACAGTGATAATAAGAACATGACCCCATATTTTTCATTGGCTAATGAGTTCTCACCCATGTCCAGATAGCTCAAATGTGTGGGAGATATGGGTACAATCAAATGGATTTACTAAATTCCTGTTCCTGGGTCTGTGTAGGGAGGAGACGGCTCTGCCATAGAATGAGGACGTAAGACTGAGAAGAAGAAACAAAGGAATACAGCCCCCACCCCTTTTATATTCTAGAGACCTAGGGTTAAGGGGCCTGCCTACGGTTGCAACAGTAATTGGAGAACTGAGTCCTAAATTTTCCTAGTGGTGAAGGCCTGCTTTGCTTGTCTCTTTTAAAAACAGCTCTGCAACCAACTTGGGGTAAAAAGTTTCTTTCCATGTCAAACACACTACCTTGTTTAAACGGCATGGTGCACAAATATTTCGCCAGAGGTTGGAGGCCTCCATCAACAAACCCAGAGAACTATGTGGGGGTCCCTGGGAACCATCGTGCACAGAAAGGCTCTTCTGCTTTGCTCCCCAGTGGAAGGCTCCAGCTGGAAAGTGAACCACAGGGCCAACTGGTCCCCTGCCAGATTTCATGGATGGCCTGTGGCGCCCCATCCATTCGGTCATGCTTGTTCACAAAATACCCAAGCAACAGCACAGGGGATGTGTACTCTCTGCTTGCACCCTGCCCTGCACTGCTGATGAAAACTCCACTGGTAAGCATAGGCAGAACTCGTTCCTGTTAGGAAAAGGATTACAAATGTGGCTGGCTTCCCTGGTGCATATATCAAGGGCTATATTTTCTAGCATTTGACTTCCTTGGGATTCAGAGTGCATACTGATTGCATGAAATAAAAGAGGCTTCTCTGACATGAGAAAGTCAGTGCATCCTTTGAAACTTCTTCAAGAAATTCCACCCTATCGCATCTTCTTCCTAAGTTGTGGAAAGCATTTGGAAGCTTGTACCGCAGCTATGCATTTACATTTTTGGTGAAGGGCTTTATGAAATGTTCTGTTATGACTTCTCCAAGAACTAAACATAAACTGCCTGTTTTCAGAAACCTCAAAGAGAATAACTAGAGCTAATGGGTAACAAAGTGGAAAAGGAAACAGGGTAGTTTTTATCCCTCGTGTTCTCTGAAGATCCCCGCTCCTAATTCTGTGCTCTGCCAGCAGAGGCAGATCCTGGAGGAGTTCTCTCATTTGGGTCTCGTCTTCCCTATCTCAACCTGGCATATCGACACGGAGAACTCCAGCTAGGTGATATTTCTATGCTATTCACCTCATTTCTTTACACTTTGAGGCAGGCATCTTTTTTGTAAGAATTGCTTCCTAGATGATTCTATAAAATAGGTACACTTTTGCAAAGTCAGAAAATTCAAATCAATCACTTTTGACTACGCCTTCCTAAAAACAAAGCATTTTTCAGTCAATGTGGTGTTGCATTCTGCATTGTGTAGAGTGGCAAGAGTCATGGGGGCCATGTGCTCATGAAGCCATGCATTTACTGTCACTCATGAAAGACGGTGGCAGGGACCCGATTTCTGTCCCCACCGACCCCACTCCACCCTCTGGAACAAGCCCAGTTTTTATAAATTGCCTCTTCTGTATTTCTGGTAGCTGTATGATCTGGGCTTGCCTTGACTTTCTCGGATTTTGGAAATGATTTTCTTTGGCCAAACCCAAGTGTTTGATGGTTATGCCCTGAAGTGCATTCTTTCTGCTCCTGTTTGGACAATCTTCTAGAGCCCAGGAAAGTTCATTTAGGGTTTGACATCTACATGATGCCATCTGCTAGTAATGTCTTCAGAAAACAACCCAGCTACATTGTAATAAAAGAAAGAGAAACCTTTACTTTGACATTAAAAAAGAATTGTTTTCATTGTCTTCCCACTTGCTGCCCAAGAAGCAACTGAGAGAACAACTGATGCTCTTCTGCCTGGGATTGTTATGTTTTTATCTGGACAAGTTTAATTTGTGGCTAATTCAAAACATGAGGGGTGAGGTGGTCAGTTTGAGGCTGAACGAAACTTTCTCAACAATGTGTGTGTACACGGTCAAAAATTATACAAACCCCACATTTTTCTGAAGCTTAGTATAATTCTTTGAGTGGCAATTATTATCATAAACTTAAATTCTTCCCCAAAGCGTCTCTCCCAAAAGCGAGGTTCCCATGAGGCATTTCCGGAACTCATTGTCCGAAAGTGGAAGGAGCCAAGACTGCTGGCATTGACCTTGAGGAGGGGGTGAGCCGCTTGCTTGTTGTGAATGTACAGGAAGAGGAGACACTTGTCCACAAAACTAACGTCCTCTGGGGGTTGTGTGTACAGGCCTGTCCCGTAAGAAATGTGTGTGGTTTCTGTGACTTGCTGATGACCGCATTGAAGCTCTTGGTGGGGTGGGGTGGGGTGGGGTCCTTTCATTTTAAGTTGGGTTTATGGAATTTTCCCCAGATGTTGAAAGGCATACAGTTTTTCCTCACCTCCCTCCCCATGCAGAAAACTATGTAGAACTCCCTTTGAAAAGTCTTGTCATGTTCCCCATGAGATTGCATGGGTGTGTGTCCACACCCTGCATGTGTCGCGTGCAGAAGAGGAGGGGGCCTGCTGGTCTCTACCCTGCTGTGCTGTGCTGTCCCAACCTGCCCCACGCTCCTTCACCATTATACTCTGCGTGTGTCACCGTTGTACTCACAACTCCGTGAATAAAGTGTGTGCTTTATTTGTCCGTGCCTCCGAAAGTGTGGTTCATTTGTTGCTCCTTAGGAAGCTCTGTCCCATTATAACAAGTACCAGCCCAACTTGCAAAGCTGAAAACACCGTGTGAAACCAAGACATCACAAATGCATCTTCATCATGCAGGTTGAAGGAGGAAATGCAGCAAACGACTGTCTGCTCCAGCAGTCCAGACCATGCTGGGCCAGTTGACCAGAGAAAAGTTTTCAGTAGAGAGGCTGATGTTGGACTTTGCTTGGAACACAGCAGGGATAGTCTCGCCTTGTAGACCGAGCTGGTGATGTGGGAAGGTTGAGGACAGGAGCTCTGAGCACCATCAGTATGGGTCACTTGAGTAAGAGGCTTGATGACAGTTGGAGAAAAACATCACTCATAACCTTGACCTCTATCTCTATGTGACTGCAATTTATGGGGAGGGGAGAAAATCCAGATTTCACTTTTCTTATTGTCTTTAGGCTTGCCAGAAAGCATAAAGTTTAATACTCAAGTTGGTCTACTGTGACAGTGACCTTCTCTCCGCTGTGTGTCTCAATCCCATCTAGGGGACTGTCAGTGCTGGCATTCCCAGAGTCCCTCAACTGGAAGCCGGGCACAGGTTATTCTTCAGGCAGTGGGCATACTTAAGCTGCATGTGTAGAGAACGTCTGTGGCCTCTGGCTTGAGGTCTGTGCTCCACTCCCTTCTGCTACCATCTGCATCTGCATCCCTGCTCCAGTCCATGAGATGCCAGGCGTCATCCTCAATCCTTGTCCTGAGCCATTTGACTCTGATGGATGTCTCTTTTTTACATCTATTTATTTGTCTGAAAGCCAGAGAGAGAGGGAGAGACTGGGAGCTTCCATCCACTGATATACTTCCCAAATGGCTGCAATGGCTTGGGGCTGGGTCATGCCAAAGTTGCATCTAGGTCTCCCACATGGATAGCAGGGGCCCAAGTATTTGAGCCATCTTCCACTGCTTTCTCAGATGCATTATCAGGAAGCTGCCCTGGAAGTAGAGCATCCAAGACACCAACCAGTGCTCGGATGTAGAATGCCAGCATCAGGAACAGCAGCTTCATTTGCTGCTCTGGGCAGCAGTGGCCTCTGTTTTATTAGAATCAGCTCCCGCCTCTTTCGGCACTAGTCCACTTCCTCCCCCACAGTGCAGCTCGCTCACTCCTGCAGGAGTCCAGCGTCCTGCATCGCCTCCCTGCCTCACCCGTTCCTCAGTTTCTGCTCCCATGGTGTTCAACCTTCCAATCTCACTCTCCACCTCTACAACTATCTGCAAGTTCCCTAGACACACTGTGCCCTCCGCTGTGGATGCAGCCTCTGCCAGGGACATTTCTTCTGTACAATGCCCAGTTCTTTCAGGAGGTGGCCAGCAGGAGGATCTGGCCCCAGGGAGGGGAGGTCATGTTCAATGTCAGCTGCCCTAAAAACCAGTTCCCATTAGTTCTTTGGAGTTACCCACGTGAATTCCCCATGAGCTCCATTTGTCCTAAATCAAAGACAATCCCAAGTTCACGCCCTTGCTGTAAGCCTGTCTGGATGGGCCGGACCCAGCCTGCCCCCAGGACATTCTTCTCATGCTTAGGACTGAACCTCATGTTTGGTATTTTTGCAAGTGTAGCCTAGTGCTGTTAGCTCTGAGTCCATTTCTGCTACTCAGGTGAATCACAGCAACATCACCATGCTGAATTCAAGCACTCTCCCTTGGTGTTGGCTGTGTCCCTCCTGACAACTCGACAAAGCAGGGTCACTTTTAGGCCCGACGTGGTGGCAAGCACCTGTTGTGAGCTCCTCTGTTGGAACTGCTGGTTTGAGTCCCAGCTGTTATACTTTCAGTTCAGCTTCCTGGTAATGTGCTTAGAAAAGCAACAGAAGATGGCCGAAGAACTTTGACCCTGGCCATCCACACAAGGAACCAGGATGGAGTTCCTGGCTTTTGGTTTTACCCTGGCCCAGACCTGGCTGTTGTGGCCACTTGAGGAGTGAACCAGCAGATGCAAGACCTTTCTCTCCCTCTCTCTTTTGGCTCTTCCTTTCAAATAAATAAATTTACATATACTTTTTAAAATCTGGGGCTGGTTCTGTGGCTTAGCAGGCAAAGCCATCACCTATGGCAAACAGCATCCTATAAGGTGCCAGTTTCGAGTCTTGGCTATTCTACTTCCAATCCAGCTCTCTGCTAATGCACCAGGGAAAACAGCAGAAGATGGCCCAAATACTTGGGACCCGAAAGAAGGCTGGAGGGCAGACTAAGTAAGGTGGGGTGCTCAGACCCAGGAAGGTATTGTGTAAGCCAGCACCATCAGTTAATGGAGCACCTGCATTGCTGGTGCTTGAGGCCTAGGGCTGTGTTATATAATCACCTAAGTATTTTACTTTAGAGTCTGGGTTCCTCCTTCCCCAGGCTTTCTAAGGCATCACCCCCAGCCCAGACCCAGCATTAAAACAAGCCCACAATTAACAACAGCATTCTCCTCACCCAATAATAGTCTTCAGAGTGCAAGCCACGGAAGATGTGCAAACTAACATTGCAGCTGAGCTCAGAGTTCACTGCCAGGGCAGAGTGCCAGCGCCAACAACTACCTGTAGCACGAATGATGATGTATTTGCCTACTCGGAGCCTCAATTTCCACTTCTATAAAAGAAGAATGGTAATGATACCTGCCTCAGAGGGTTCTTAGGAGAGTTCTGGAAGAACAAGACCCAGCATGGCACCACACAAGTGCCCAGACGTTAGCTTGTATGAAGGAAGTCTCTGCTGTGCGATCTGGGCTCACTGTTCTCCCAGCCCTGAGCTCAGCCTTCTACAGAGGCTCCTTCCTTCAAGTTTGTCTGTCACTTCTGCCTTAGAGTAAAGGAGATAGACCCAGAGAGTAAGTGTCAACCCAGGGCTCTGCCATCCCAAACTCCACCTCTGGGCAAGTGTCATGAGAAAAGAGAACCCGTGTCCCCCACAGCCCAGTGGCCAGCCAAGGTAGCAGCAGGTGCACCCACGGGCCAGGTCCTGGGTGAGGAGGACTTCCTTACCCTACCAAGGGATGCTAAGAACTGCCCTGTGGGAGAGCTGAGGCTTACTGCCATGAACCATGCCATTGGTTCTAGAAAACTCCTTGCAGATAGACAGCTCACCTAGAAGCCTGCCAAGACTGGGCTGCTGGTCTTGAGAACCGGGAGACATGTCTTTAGCTTGAAAAAGCCACTAGTCCTGTCCAGATCCTCCCTCCCACTGCTGTACAACCAAACATTCTCGCTGGGCACTGCCAGCAGTCCTGCCCTGCTGGGTGTGTTCCTCTGTGGGTATGAATGCAGAAGGAAGGGTGGAGACTCCCAGCTGGCAGTTTCTGAGAAAGTTTAAGGTATCTGGCAGAACAGTGTCCAAAGCTTCGGGGAATCTCGACCCAAGTCCTGAAGACCTGCTTCCCCAAATTCAATTTTCTCCCGTGCACAACACCAGGTGTCCTTCTGCTGTGACCTACTGCAGGGTAGCCAGCCAGGGCTACGGAGGAGGGTATAACATGACCACATTTATTGTGCTTCCCAATAGCCACAAAACAAAAGGGCTGTCCAGGGCCTGCCATTGTCCTAAGCACAATGGTTGCCCCAGAGAGGCTTTTCTGTGTTTACTTGTGCTGTACCCCTGCGGCTTGCCTCTTCCAAGTAGTTGGTTTGGGAAAATTTTCCCTCCAGAAGAGAAGCTGTTTCTGTTCTGTGCCTGGCATGGCTTAGCAGGTGGCCTTCCCAAAGCCTCCACAGGTGTCGCAGTCAGGGCTCACAGACAGGTCAAGGCCTGGAGCAGCTTCCAGACCGAGAGCCTGTGGGATGGGGGCTCAGGGAACAGAGTCCAGACAACAAGATTAGATGACGATGGTGGCTAACATGCTTCAAGGGCTTCCAGAGTGCTGGGTGCTGAGTTACGTTCTCGCTGTAGGTTATTTTAGTTCATCCGAAAAGGTAACCCCAGGACTGAAGAGACCCACTGGCAAGTGAAAAGCATTTCTAGCCCACTCTTACCAAGTCCACACTGGCACATCAGCAGGGCAGGGGGAGGTGGGAGGCCCCCGGCTTTGGGAAGAGGGGTCATCATGTGACAGTAGGTAGTTTCCTAAGGATTTGTTTAAAGGACAGAATCTGCAGACTAATGCCAGCCTTTCTCGGCAAGATGGAGCCCGGCCATGAATAACAACATTTTGTTCTAAACTGGACGGATGTTGGCACAGAAAGAATAGGCCCTCTCGTTCCTGCTATTGTCTGAAAACATACGCTTCTTAATGAAAAGTCAGAAGGCGTTGATGGCTGTTCCATTCCCATCAGATAGGGCAAGAGTCAGCTGGCTCCCCAGCTGAAGTGAAGGAAAACAGTCATTACTGCCCATCTCCCCCAGCATGCTGCTCCAGGCAGCTGAGAGCCCATGGCTAGTGTTTATTATTATTATTGTAGTCAGATGGCTTCCACTGAGTGCCCCACAAGTACACATGGGGCCTGTGAGCCTCACCTGCAACCCAGGTACATGTTGCTCTAGCATGGGTGAGAGGCCTTGCTGTGCTTGTGGAAGGCCAAACATGGAGTTGGGAAAAGAGCTGAGGTTTGGACGCAGGTTTTGCCACCCAGCTCATGTTCCCAGCTGCACAGAAGTTTGGTTTGTTGGTCTGGGGTGGGTGCTGGGAAGCTGTGTCGTGTGACACTGAAAAACCTGCAGATGAATCTGACAGGTAACTACAACTGTACCACATTGTCCCAGGACAGGAGTAGAGCTGGTCAGGGATTAGCCCAGGACCCACTGGCAAGTGTTGTCACCCTAATTCAGACAGGCCTGGAGAATCTGCTGGCTGAGGGCCTCTGTAGGAAGTCAGCTGCCTCTTCCTGCAGCACAGCAAGGTCCTAGCCCCCAACGCCAGCCACTCCTGGGAACCTGCTCCACCACCACCTCATTAAAGAGGAGAGCACTTCGGTCCTCTAACTTGAGCTGAGACCACGCTAGGGGCCGGTGGCTTTCAGGA